AAAGGTTAGAACTTTGATGCTTCAAAACAATGGGATGTTGAGAAGGAACTCAATAACATACTCAACTACTTACTTTGATAATAAGTCAGGTCGAGGAAAACAAAAGCTAGGATGAATTCTTCGATTGGAGATATGGAAACGGAAATGACCTTGAAAGTTCTTGGTTGTGGTATGCTTGTGTGCTTGTGTTTTTGTGTTTGTTTCTTTGGACTCGTTCTCCTGCCTCGATAGAATTTCATACTATTAAACTCAATTTCATTCATTGATATGGAGGAGCTAATTTGCTCCTTGAGTATGGCAGGAGTCATCGGCGTTGGTTGATGAGTCCTGCTCTTGAAGTTCTAGGGACAAGATGCGGATATTTACTTTGGCTCACATATAACCTCATCTTATTTCATTTAGATCCTTTTATATTCCTTAAAAGCATGGGATCTGCTGATTTATCTTCATGCCTAATAGCATCATGTCAGAGCCCAAAGTGACTTCCATACACATTTGCTCAATACATAAACCATGTACTATAAACAATCACATGCTTTGCTACATTTGCTTAGAAGTTATAGAAACATAGGAATTTATGAAGCATGGCAAAACTGAAATTCAAACCTAAGGACAATGGGCATAGTAATCCTCTCGGGGATTCTCAGTTCCCTCAGCTCCCTCAGTAAACCAAAACCTATCTCCCCAACATCCGGAACCTCAACTCCCATCTATCCAACCTCACCACCCACCCGTCTCCCCTCCAAATTCATCGCCTGCGTCCGCCGTCCCGAATCCGCCAAAAAAGTGCACCAGGCACTCCCCCCCTACCTAGTCTCCTCACCAACCTCCCTCTCCATCCTCCAAAACAACAATGTCTCCGCCGTTCAACAAGCCGACATAGTCCTCTTGTCCTGTAAACCGTACATGGTAAAAGAAATCCTGTCGGAACCCGGCATGGGGCAAGCTTAAACAGGCAAACTCCTAATCAGTATCTGTGCCGGCATAACCATCGAACAACTCTACTCTGAGCTCTTTACCGAACAAACAAAAGGTCTAACAGACATTGCATCTGCCTCTAACCCCTGCACAATCGTCCGCGCTATGCCTAACACCGCATCTCAAATCAACGAATCAATGACCGTAATCAGTACTTCTACACCACCTCTCCCAGAACTCACAACCGCACTCATAACCTGGATCTTCACACGCATAGGCGAAGTAGTATTTCTTTTCCCCTCAACCATAGATGCCTATACCGCTCTCTGCGGATCCGGTCCCGTTTTTTTTTTCGCCCTAATGCTCGAAGCAACCACAGACGGCGCCGTAGCCATGGGACTACCTCGCGCAGAAGCCCAAAAAATGGCAGCGCAAACTATGCGTGGTGCCGCTGGTCTCATTCTCCTCGGTGAACATCCAGCACTACTAGGAGATAAAGTAAGTACGTTGGGTGTGTGTACGATATGGGGACTTTCGGTTTTGGAAGAGGGCAGGGTGAGGGGTACTGTGGCGAGGGCGGTGAGAGAAGCGACGCTTGTGGCGGGGCAGTTGGGGAGGGGCGTGGTGGGGGCTAATGGGACAAGTTTTTAAGGTTCGGTGAGGGAGATGTGGGGGGAGGGGTGTGGGATGGGATAGCACGGGGAAATGAAATGGCAGGGGGAAGTGAATACCAAAATGGAATGGGAAAAGGGAAATGACAAATAACTGGCGCAATAGTGATCATTCAATTACTTGCTGTATTTCTTTTCTCTTCGTACCGATCTCTGAAGCTGAAATAGATTCAATAACTCTGGTATTTATTCTTCCCATCCGTGTTTATTGATTCCCACCCGAAAACAGAGGTGTGAAAACATCTCAAGCATTCCCTGATATCATCCCTGAGTATAAAGCACACCCAAACGCCATGATGGAATAGTACTTTAGTACCAGTTTTAATACATGTCCCTCCGCCGTCACATACCAGCCGTAATGTGATAGGATTTTTAGGAAGCAAACTTCAACCTCTTAGCCAATGGTACGTCGTTCTCGTCTTCTTCTTCATCATCCTCATCCTCCCCACCAACAGCCCTCTTCCCATTCTCATTAGCCGTGCTCTTTTCCTTTCCCTTCCCCGCAGCAGTCGGTTTCTCCTTTTCACTCCTCTCATTGACCGCCTCAATTAATCTTCCATAATCAGCTTCTACACCCATCAAAGTCTCGTTCAATTTATCGATTCTCTCTCCGCGGTCTAATTGTGCCAAGGCCTCTTTATTATGGCGATATAAACGTTGTTTAACGAGGAGTTGCCAGAGATGATATATATGTTCATCTTCTTTTCTGGGGGGCGGTAAAGATTTTTTGGATGTTTCTTCTGTGTCGTGGAGAGGGGCTGCTTTGACTGACTGTGGAATTATGGACAGAAGGTACATTTCATGCACGCGGGCAAATTGCCTAGGGGCGATTTTCATTTGAGTTCGGAGATCTTCGTATGCTTTAGTGTCAAAAAGTTTCGTGGGAGCTGGCCCTTTACGGTTGATTTTCAACGTTGAATCGAGCTTCAACTTGAGAAATCTTTCGTCTTTGCGTAGACGAGCTAGGTCGTTAATATCTCTTAAATCGTCGAATGCTTCATTCGGGTCCTCTACTGTGATCTCTCTTGTATGTGGATCATCAGACAAATAATCAAATATTGCATTATAAAACAGTGATCCCTTCCCCCCGCTTTGAAAGGGTGGAAGAATCATGAATTGAGATATTCTTGACCGACATGGAAGAGTATTGAACGAGACTCCATTGACGGGAAGCGTAAATTCCGGAGCTATCTTGTCACCATTGGGAGTTTGTGGCGGAGTCGTAGGTGTATACATGTAATAGCGATAGACGGTAGAAAAGCCCATGAAGACGTATGATGAAGATTTCCCGAAAAATGAGGCTGGGGATGGCTTCTTGTGGTATAAGAAAAACACAGTCCATCGCTCAAGATCATCCTCTGATTCATCGAGATCAAGTAACGTCCCTCCTTCAATAAACAAAGGAACTAATATTTGAATGCGCCTGATGGTTTGTTGAATGACTGGATCAGAGAGGATACCTTTCCATATTTCAAATGTCTCTCCACCGACCTCGATTGCGCGAAAGAGTTCTCCCGGTGGATGCCAATCTGCTGGGACAGCCGAGATATTTGAATCGAAAACACTTGACTTTTCAAAAGCAGCTGTATGACATCAGTAACAGAAAATGGAAGCTTTGTTGGAGCGATACGTACTCTTTGGTAAGAATGGTTCCAGCGTCGCCTTCAAATCCGTTGGTTCTATATCACCCACTGCCTTGAACTTTTTGTTGTAAGTAATTTGTAGGCCGGGTCGCATGTCACAGGCATTGTATTTTAAGTTGATCCTCAAGCCCTGGTATCCAAATATCGACTCCTCATCTCCGAATATGGGATATGTGAACTTCGGGGTGAAGGTGTGAAGTGAGGTTGTGCCTCCTGTGCTTGGAGAGACCAGTGAGATATAGATAGCTTCATTGGAATCAGCGGACCCTAAGATGACTGTATTAGCTTTCATGAAATTGGGAAATGGTGTTTTTGTAGGGAATGGCTCGTCGGCGCATAATTCGAGCGCACTGTTGCGGACGAGGAAGAAGCTAATGAAAAGGAACAATAACGAGACTTGAGGGACAGAAGCCAAGACACTTACAATCGGCATTAACATCGGCCATATTTGCGACAATGGTTCTTCTGTTATCGTTGACGCGAAAGGGTGGTTTATCAATTAATGGTTAATTATCGTTGTGGGTTAAAAATGGAAGACCTAAGATATTCCAAGTTCAGATCAGCTTCAGAGCTTCTTAGAGCTTCAATAATCGCGTAGATTGATTTTCCGAGACGCGTTTCCTCCCCTCAAGAAAAAGGTAAGGCTACAGGGTTGATTAGTGGATTACCAGTGGGTCAACAGTGGACTGTCAGTGGATTACTTAGCACTGTGCATCTCTTAAGGTTAAGTTGAATTAAGTTCGTTCAGCCTCGTTCGCGGGAGTGAGACCCAAATCTGTCATCCCGGAGTGACGAATTAAATTTCTTTATAAAGGGAGTGAAGTGCACAATCATAAGCCATAAGAGAACTACTTGATATCTTTCGCCTGCTTTTTCGAGTATTCAATAACCTTAGACTTTGTTTCCCTTTTGTTGTCATGCAAAATCCCGAAATGAGGCGGTGATATCATCCTTCGAATATTTTATACCATTGCGACGTAGGTTTGAAGGCCGCAAAATAGAAGAAAGTATTCAAGATGTTCGACGGCTTATTTATGCTGCTCATTTTGAGCGTGATTATGTGTTTGAGGTAACCCTCTTGCCTAAAGTGTTAATCAATATTCTAATAAGGTATCTAGTTGTTTTCTTGCTGGAGCAGTGCCATTGTCCATGACCTTATCACCATCACAGCTTCGATTAATATCTACAATTGGTATGGGAGTACTTGTCGGTACTTCATTGGTTGTTATTATACCTGAAGGAATCGAAGCAGTGTATACCGCAGGACATTCAGCACATACTCGTGGGGCGAGAAGTGTATCAATTCAAGAGAGAAACTCTGGACTTTCATGGGTTGGTGGACTCAATACGATCGCATACTCGAACGAAGCGAATATCAATCGAAGACATGCCAAACCGGGTGCAAGGACTTCACAACCTTTTGAAGTTGAGATTCTTACCAGAGAGACTTTGCCAGAGGAAAAAGAGGACAACTCCCCAGAGAAGTTAGAGGAGAAACCAGGGAGCGAAAACGAAGAATATCGGGATGAGGACGAATCACCTACATTTTGGATTGGTCTATCCCTCATCTTGGGATTTATTCTCATGTTTTTAATTGACAAACTCCCAAGACATGCCTCTGAGAAATTACAGGCCCCAGTTGCGCCGAGACAAATTTCCCTCAACAATCTATCTCAGAACATTTCTTCATCTGATGAAGAATCAGACGGGTTTTTTCAATCACTCACACCAAGCCCCAAGCAAAGTCGCAGTCTGGCTACAACGACAGGGCTTGTGATACATGCATCGGCGGATGGAATAGCCATGGGAGCCTCCGCATCTACATCCAACACAAAGTTAGGATTTATCATTTTCATAGCGATTATGGTACACAAAGCACCCGCAGCATTCGGGCTTACTTCTGTCCTACTGAAACAAGGGCTTTCCAAACGAGCAGCACGTGGCCACCTTGTAGTTTTCAGTCTCGCAGCACCATTTGGAGCTATCACCACTTTCCTATTGGTAAATATCCTAGGTGGAGGAAATATAGAAGGAGTAAGAGGGCAATGGTGGACTGGAATGTTATTGTTATTTTCTGGTGGAACCTTTTTGTGAGATCCCCTATTTATTTCTATTCGAAACAAACCTACCGAGCGTTTACTAACAAGTGACTAGATACGTCGCGATGCATGCCATGCAAGAAGATTCAGGGGTGCATAGTCATGAACATACAAATTCTAATGGGTACCTCGAGGGAGGTCTTTCACAGCGCAAACAAGCGAAGCCGCAAATGCGAGATACGCTGGCGGCAGTTGGGGGAATGTTAATTCCTCTATTGACACAGTTTGGACATGATCATTGAGTGAATGATTGAATGAAGGAGAGTTTTGTAATATATAAATGAGACGAGATGAAGGATTGGAATGGAAAACTCGACTGGGACCATTCTAATACAAGAAAGCAGAGGTAAAACACATAGATGGATATTCTTGTATGAAATAGATACGGGTTGGAGAGGGCGAGAAAAATAAAATACCTTTCATAACATCTTATTACTATGCTTTTACATCTAAACATGTAAACCCATTTCATGTTAATGGAGTTAAGAGGGGAAATAAAGACACAATTCGCATGATTCGCCTCCACCCAACTCCACAAATGGAGGAACTACGAGACACAGATATTTCCATCTCGAAACGCTAGGACGTGATTTATTAGAGCTCTAGATTTTCGAAACCTCCTCTCCTAAAAATACCTATCTAAGCCATAAAGTGAAAATCCTGGACGAAAGGTAGGGCAGGACAGGCGTAACTTATTCAAGGATGGATTTGAAACAGGATGAATGGATATCTATTTGTGCATTGTGCATGCATGGTATTGTATTGTATTGTATTATGCACAGCCTTTTATTTGTATTTATGCTTGGAGTTGGAGGGAGCTGGAGGGAGCTGGGGAAAAGGAGTAGATACTACCTAATAGATAGATGTATTTGGGGTATTTGGGTTGGGGGATTGTGTTGTATTGTGTTGATCATAGAAGGGAATGGTTCTGTGAGATTTCCTGAGATAAGATGAAATGAGGTGAGGTGAGGGCTTATCGTGATAAGGAAAGGAGGTGGATTGTATTGTATTGTTACCCCCTTTATGAATTGGTATTTACTTACCTACTTACTTACCTAATCAGGTTCTTGAATGGAGGAATTATGGGGTGATGTAGATGAGAGTAAATGTTCATTGTGTGGAATATGGCTATGGTACTCATCTTCTGAATCGTTAGATGAAAGCTTGATGGTGATGATAGTTAAATAGGAGTAACGAGGGCTGAGCTGGATAGCCACAATGAGGACTACCCTGCCTATCTAGAAAACTGGATGTCTAAACAAGACGTTGTGTAACATGTAAGATCTTAACAAAACCTAATCTATCTATCGCCACCACCGGCTTGATTCATACAAGAACGGGTGCTGGGATATGCTTTGTAGAGTATACCTTGAGGCAATCCGAGTTGTTTCTTCAACTCACTGATATGTAGATTGTGGTTGTAGCTAGATGTCTTTCTCAAGCTCTTGTTTGTTCTATAATTATTCATTTATGACGATGACATTCTGATACCTACTATTCAGTGATCATGTGCAGTATTTAGCCCTCAGTTATAATGTAATAATACACTTCATGTTCATTCATCTAACATGTTCTGTTTGCAGTAACCTATTGTAAGATTATCTATCTTCAAGAACTTCTTCACAAACATCTTCACAAAACCTCGCCATTTAAAACTAAGAACTGCATGTCATACTCGGTATAGGATACCTAGACCTGATATTATAAATTCCCCATATCCTTACTTCATGAATGAATTATCCCTGCTTGCGCATACCGGTTAACCATAATACCACCAGTACTGAGTGAGTGAGACCATACAAAGCTCAATAGGTTAACCTTAATAAATCAATCAGCAAAAAACGCCCTACTCCGTACACACTTCACTACACACTTCATTCTTTTACACTTCACCACTCACTACTTACCACACTACACTACACTACTCACCACCCACCACTCACACTACTCCCCAACACACAGTCCTTCCTCCTCTCTCACACCAACTTCAGCCCAACCCAGTACGTACAAGTAACTACCCACCTACCTACAATTAATAAATTCCTTTCCAAGTACACTCACTCACTGGTGGTGTATTATCTGGTCGTCCAGCAAATCTAATAAATTATAGTCCTTATTATTACGATTCGATCTTATTCCTACCATTTGTTTTCCTTGTGATCAGTGTCAATGATAAAAGATTCATTCATCATCCAAATCATCCCATCATCCCATTCATCAATCATCGAGTTTCAACATTAACGACAACGCATTCGAATGTGTTCCCTTGAACATTAGGGTTGCACAACCTTCTTTCAACACCGCCTTCATCATATATTGAAATCCTCGTCTCTTATTTTGAAATTATATATAGTCGACGTCCCCTTAATTGGCGCCATCGTTTTCCCTTTTTCATGGTCGAGAGTCCAACGACTAATCGTTAAGCCCAAATCCTTCCCTCGGTCCCAAATCATCAATCGGTTTGGGCGAAGACCTTCATTCACGTCCGCACCCACAATCATAATCTTTTCTCGACCAGTCAGCATAGACGAAAAGGTCTCTGTAAGAATAGACGATCAGGGGAAAGCGACGATGGAAAATTTCAGACCTTTGAGCTTGACAGATAGAAGAGCTTCCACTGCACCTACCGAAAAAGACGGCGAAATGTCTCCTACCCGAGCGCTAACGGTCGACACAAATGGCGATCACATTCCAATGCCGCAAAGGTTAGAAAAGATCTTGAGTCGACCAAGAGGTCCCCCAACTCCAAATATGACCACTCCTTCCGCCGATTTACAATCTCCCACCCATTCAAGTCACGATCCTCCTCCTCCCCCTACACCAGCGGCAAGTCCAGGTCCTAACCACCCGCAACCAGATTGGAGCGAAGCGGGAGAAAAGGAAGATATATTTTTATCACAAATTAGGATATACTTCAGTCAAAGTTCGGCCCCTGAAAGAACGAGGATATTAGGAGATCTTTTGAATCTTTGCACAAGCCAACAACTCAGCTTCGTACATCAATATGTTAGCCCGTTACTGAAGAAGGATCCCTTCACGACCTTGCCAGAGGAACTATGCCTTCGTGTACGTACTCTATTCCTGAAGGCGAAGCCTCGACTAATTGTTCCGCGTAGATTCTGTCTTGTATCGACGACCCCAAAGTGCTTGCGCGCTCATCCCAAGTTTCGAAACGTTGGCGAGATCTACTTTCAGACGATGTCACTTGGATGAAGTTATGTGCGAAGCACGACTATGGTCGAAGAATGTCAGAACATCAGCCCACTGCACCTCTAACATCACTTCGACCCCCTCCACATCCCGTTCATTTGGCATCACAAGCAGGGGATAGTTTTGCCTCGCAATCATTTCCTGGAATGAGCGCACCGTTACCGCATGTCCCTGGGAGTTCAAAAAGTTTCGATAGCGCCACAGCCTCGGGCGTATTGAAGAGACCAAAGATTAGGTCATATAAATCACATTTTAAGCAGAGATATTTGGTCGAAACCGCATGGAGGACCGGGGGACAAAACATCGCAAGACACATTACACAGGATCAGGGTGTTGTGACGAGTCTACATTTGACACCAAAATACATCGTAGTGGCGTTGGACAATGCTAAAATACATGTTTTCAACACAGATGGAAATGCACAAAAGACCTTGACCGGGCATGTAATGGGTGTTTGGGCAATGGTACCTTGGGAAGATACCCTCGTGAGTGGAGGTTGTGATCGGGACGTCCGAGTATGGGATATGGCTAACGGGTACGTTTTTCTAATTGCGTTTCATGAGGTCTGTTAATTAATGCATCATAGTGAGAGTATACATACTCTACGTGGACACACATCAACAGTACGATGCTTAAAGATGTCTGATGCGAACACCGCCATTTCAGGTTCTCGAGATACCACGCTGAGGATTTGGGACATTAAAACTGGCGTGTGCAAAAATGTTCTTGTGGGTCATCAGGCAAGTGTTCGATGCTTAGAAATCAAAGGAGATATTGTTGTTTCCGGAAGTTATGATACTACAGCCAGGGTATGGAGTATTTCAGAGGGTAGATGTCTACGAACACTCCAGGGCCATTTCTCCCAGATATATGCTATCGCGTTTGATGGAAAGAGGATCGCTACTGGGAGTCTTGACACTAGTGTTCGAATTTGGGACCCAGAAAACGGGTAGGTAATTTTAGTCCAAGTACGCAGATCAAACTAACCGATCCTCAGGTCTTGCCAAGCCATTCTTCAAGGACACACTTCACTAGTTGGGCAGTTGCAAATGCGAGGAAACACGTTGGTGACCGGTGGTTCTGACGGCTCTGTTCGCGTCTGGTCACTAGAAAAGATGGCGCCAATTCACCGACTAGCGGCTCATGACAATAGTGTTACAAGTTTACAGTTTGATGATACACGAGTTGTGAGTGGGGGTAGCGATGGTCGAGTCAAGGTGTGGGATCTTAAGACTGGTCAACTTGTTCGTGAACTTAGTGCTCCTGCCGAGGCTGTATGGAGAGTGGCTTTTGAAGAGGAAAAGTGTGTTGTTATGGCAAGCCGAGCTAACCGCACTATCATGGAAGTGAGTATTATAGCCTCCTATCACAGCGGACCTTACTAACATAAGTCAAGGTATGGTCATTTTCTCCGCCTGAAGATGTCTTGTATGAAAAATCATATGCCCAACCAACTCCCATCACGGGGCCTGCCAGACCTTTAAGCGCTATTGAGTATCGAAGCGGTAGCCAAGATCAAGCTATGCAAGGAATTATAACAAGCGAAGCATCATATGTAAGAGATGATGTTGAAATGGCTGATGCTGGACCATCAACGGTTCCCCCACAAGCTACTGGGCCTACCTTCTTTCACGAAGATGATTGATCTACGTCGCTTTACTTTTCTATATAAAAGCATTCACTGGTTATGATTGCTTCTTTCACCTACTAGTCTCCGAATGACTCCTCAATATCATCGCTTCTTTATCGATAGATAAAAGACGATATTGTGAGCGAATACAGCCTCACATGTTTCACTGTCATGCATTTGCAATCCCTCATTTACCATCTATTTTTTTTGTCCATATTGAGAGACCTTCGATCGATCAAAGCACAAAGTACCTGTTAATAAGAAGCAAAGATGCATCTGGGACAGGGCGTTTTACATTTGACTGGCTGGCAGAGTGGTACACAATTTTTAATGGCTCGAATACCTATAGGGCAAAGGAAAGGGGACAATTCAACGGGAAATCTTCAACGGCGTAGCATTGAGAGAATTTGCATTAGGGATTCCCCAGGGTTAGGGAGTTACTTAAACTTGTACTTTGAGGTTGGCTGGGTAGCATATTAAACATGCAAAATGATGAAATTCAATTTGCTCTTGATTTCGAGTGTGAAAGGATCAGTGAGGATTGGAAAACCCGAGTTGATAGGGGGGTCCGCATGTGCGGTCGAGTGTCAAATTGTTTCACGTGACTCGCAGGATTTGTAGATCGGAACAACTCAACTCGGAAGCTTGAGGAATAATCTGTCTAGACTAAGCCAAAACAGGACTACTGTAATCCAAGCATCCCAACCATCAACATCTTTTGTTTGGTAGCTGCTGAGAAATTTCCACGACTTATCTTCCGCCTCCCTCACTCCCTACAACACATTCCCTACCACCACAATCATGTTTTCGAGAGCATTGAAGGCACGATCTGCTGCGCCTTTGCGCAAAAATGCTATTTCCAGAGCTGCTCTCGTAAAGAGAACGGTTACCACAGACGCCGCCTCCGCGCATGCCGATAAAGATGCGGTTCCTCAGGTATGCTTTTATGTTGGGATATCTCGATTGATTGAAGATGGTGTAGATGATAGGTATGCTAATGATTCACTGGGGCACAGGAAGAAGATAAGCCATTCACATTGCAATTATCCGACGAATCCTTTGAGACCTACGAGCTCGATCCTCCATCTTACACCATGGAGACCACCAAGAAGGAGCTGAAGCAGATGTACATTGATATGGTTTCAATGCGGTAAGAATATATCTTGGTATTACGACCGAAGCTTTCGCTGATGGAGAAATATAGTCGTATGGAAATGGCCGCCGATAGACTCTACAAGGAGAAGAAAATCCGTGGTTTCTGCCATTTATCAACTGGTCAAGAAGCCGTCGCTGTCGGTATCGAACACTCTCTTACCAAGGAAGACGACATTATTACTGCCTACAGATGTCACGGTTTCGCCCTTATGCGAGGCGCTTCCGTAAAATCTATCATCGGTGAATTGTTGGGCCGTCGCGAGGGTATTGCCTACGGTAAAGGTGGTTCCATGCACATGTTCACCAAGGGATTCTATGGTGGAAATGGTATTGTTGGTGCTCAAGTTCCAGTCGGTGCTGGTTTGGCTTTCGCCCATAAGTACAATGGCAACAAGAATGTCTCTGTTGCCTTGTACGGTGATGGTGCTAGTAACCAAGGACAAGTTTTCGAGGCTTTCAACATGGCGAAGTTATGGAACTTGCCAGTTCTCTTCGGTTGTGAGAGTAAGTTTCTAGGGATACTATGAGCTTGGGTATCTGCTAATTACTACAGACAACAAATATGGTATGGGTACCGCAGCCAACAGATCCTCCGCTCTCACCGATTACTACAAGCGTGGACAATACATCCCAGGTCTCAAAGTTAACGGAATGGATGCTCTCGCTGTTAAGGCAGCTGTCAAGCACGCCAAGGAATATGCGAATGCCGGTAACGGTCCATTAGTTCTCGAATATGTCACCTACCGTTATGGAGGACACTCCATGTCCGATCCAGGAACCACATACCGTACCCGTGAAGAAATTCAACGTATGCGTAGCACTCAAGATCCAATTGCTGGTCTCAAACAAAAGTTGATTGAGTGGAATGTTACAACTGAGGATGAGTTGAAGACTATTGACAAGGAGGCTAGAGCAAAGGTCGATGCCGAAGTTAAGGAGGCCGAGGAGATGCCTTTCCCAGACGCGACCCCACAGATTTTGTACGAGGATATCTACGTTAGAGGAAGTGAACCTCAATACATGAGAGGAAGGACGAACGATGAGAACTACTATTATTAGGTTACTGGGATTGGAGTTGCTAGAGGGGAGGAAGGACTGGCACAAGGAAATGTATAGTATGAATGGATGGATGGGTGGCTGGTAGAATGATCGGGAGATTGGCGGGAATTGGAATGATTGAACGATAGATGGTTGGGCAATGCTCTCATTTTTTTCGTCCGACGGCTTACGTTTACACACAACGACCTTACCTCCTTACCTTACCTACCTTTTATTCGTTCCGTTTCGTTTACCGTAGTTGAGATGAATTAAGCGCATACCCTACCCCGCTAATAATATTCATCCTTTGAATCGTGAGTGATAAAGAGCCTTTGTGTCATTTGTACAATGCGATGGGATGAAATGTGATGTGATGTATAGACTACTGGGCTAGTATCCCTAAATCTGAAGTTTCAAAAATTAAGTGAAAGTAAAGATTCGCTTGAAAACTCATCACCTCATCTACCACTTTAATTAAAGGCTGGAAAACAATATCAACAATATGTAACGAGTTTTTATTTTGATATCATGTGGCTTTGGTATGCTTGGTGTAAGGCAATAGGGCTTTTGATTTGAGTGTTTGGTTGACTGATTGAATTCGTTTTTTGATACGAGGGGGGGCACGTTTTATTTGGCATCTCGAATGGGATGCACCATTGTGATGGAAATAGAATTTTCAGGGCAATGGAGTCGGGAAAGGGAGATGGCTGATATCAACAAACAGCGTCATGAAACAAAAGCTTCCTGTCGAGTGGACGTTGCTCGCAGTGTTAGATAGCGCAGATATAAAGATTGTTGGACGGCTGAGAGACCCGGACAATTCATGTTTTCGACGTGCCTACATCGTGGGTCTTACATGGTGGTTGAATCTCCCTAGCTATAGTGGAGCGAGTTTCTGTAGGTCTTTTGACTTTGAAAACTGTGTTTCGTCAAATTTGGTGCAGTTTTTAGTTTCCAGTTTTTCTTTAAGCGATTGTTTCCTCAACATTTTCATAATTCCATTGATCGATAAAGCTCTGTTAAATAAAAGGACATTTTTAGCTTTTGGCTATCTTGCATATCAAAGCAATGCATCCCATTCCGGTCAGTGGCATTCTTCTTTATCACATCATACCTGATGTGTGGAGAACAAAATGGTTCACCACAGCGACTATTTTAATGGCCGCATCGAGTAAACCCTTAATAAAGAGAGGTTCGTGAATAAAGACCATAATGGATTGAAATTTGCAATATCAATCGTCGCTATAAGCCTCACTATCTTTCTATTGACAAGGAAGCCGAATTCACCATATTGGTAAATACGCCAATCACTATTAATTCAAAAGAGCAGTTCAAAATCTAAATTTCACCATAACATGGCTGAAATACCTGAACCCGGCGGAGACAACCCAGCGCCCCCAGGATCCGGCTCGTCGACTCTCAGATCAGGAAACACCGGAGATTCAAGCGGCAAAACCCTAGTCGGACAAAGTTCTGTAGATACTGTGGACCTTTCGGGAACAATACAAGATCCGGATGCACCGCCAGCAAACACTGGACAAGCAGTATCTGGAGCCAACATCGGTGTTCCAGGTGGCCTTGGATTACCAAAAACGCCAGAGACCGACATTGATCTCTCGAGTATCGGGAGGCCACTACCGAGAGACGAACGTTCAGCGGATCCAAGGCCAGGACTAAACGCACCTCAACCGGATCCTCCATCTGAACCTATAGATATTTCCAAGTTTACTAATCCAGATGGTACTACTGATTGGACTAGGATTGGGGCCATACTGTCAATGAGAGCTCAGCGTGAGAGGCAGGAGAGGAGGGCTCGGCGTCGGATGCAACCTAGACCACAGCGTGAGAAGTCAGCTCAATCTCAAGGCATACCGGAAAATGCCCAGGCTCAGGGCAAGTCGGAAGATGCCCAGCCTCAGAGTAAGTCGCAAGATGCTCAATCTCAGGGCGAGTCGCAAGATGCTCAATCTGAGGGCGACTCGCAAGATGCTCAATCTCAGGGCAAGCGGCGATTTGTTAAACCTCCGGGCATAGGAAATGAAGCTGGGCGTCGGTTTCGTCGTTACCACCGAGCGTTTAGGCGGAGGAATTCCTCACTGGCTTTCTTGGAAAAACGAGGCATTGATGTAAAGGCTCTGTCAGACATCACCGAAAAGACTACTCCGTTAGCTAGTCCCGAAGATAGAGGCAAGACTGGGCTACCATCGCCAGGAGGTGGCGTTGATGCGAAAAGTGAAAGAAGTCATGCTACTAATCCAAGGGAACCTAAGGAGAAGGTTGATTTTGGTGGCGTTTCTCCTGTGAAAATTCAACCAAAGCCTTTACCGCCTAGTGATAAGGTCAGTGAATATGATATATCCCTCAGATGTGTCGTGCTAACTTGCAGCAAAGCTATCGTCAATTAGAAACGAAAAATTTCGTAGATTCGCCAAGCAACCTGCAACATCGACAACAATCGAACAAAAGCTTCATCGATGGTTTCAAAATAACCGAAGTTCAGGGAAAAGTACTGCTGCCCAAATAAATGAAGCGCAGGTTGAGAGGGAACTGGTGAATGCACGCGAAAAACACATTGCTTGGATTGAAGATGAGAAACGCGCTGCAAATGACTTGATCAAGAATGAGACAGATGGTAATGCTGTAATTGCATTGAAGAAAGTAGTCGAGAGGCTCGACCGTCATCTAAAAGAAGCTTCGCAATTGGAGGAGAAACGCGTAAATCGGAATATCCTGAAAGATCATTTGGAACTCGAAACAAGTCCTACTATCAAGGGAAAATTCCAAGATCAACTCAAAGAGTTGAATTTGCAGATTGAAAATGAAGAGGGCAAAGAGAGAATAAGACTCAAACGTCATATGAGCGGAGATTCGGTTTCAGTAGCAGAAACGAGAAAAGTGGCTGCTATGACACCGGCTGAGCAAGCTGCTTCCAATGCTCGATCAGGTCAACTCTCCACAACGGTTGCATCACGGCCTCCAGATCAACTCGAACCATCGCCCGCGGAAAGAGCTCTACGTGAGAAATGGATACACGAAGATAAGCCTCATGAAGATGTTGTCATGAAAATTGAGTTAATGTCTGATTCCAAGGAGAAAATGGATGCATGGAAAGCTTTACAAAAAGTGCGCAGTTCCCTTTTACTAAAAAGACAGAAAGAGTTACAAAAGTTCTGGAGGAAACAAGCGGATGAGACGAAAGCGGATCGTGAATTTGCTTGGTCGGAGGAAGAAGATGATGCGGAAGGAAAAGATGTACCTGGAACGAAGCGTTCATCGCAAGGAAAAATTGGGAGCATCGATAGCGGGAATGGTGTCAAAGATGTGGCTCAGGCTGAACTTGATAAGGCTAGGACGCAACTTGCGAAAGATTTGAAGAAGAAAAAGGCCGAAGAGGCTGAAAATGCGAAGAAGATTGAAGAGGCTAAGAATATTGAAGAAGCTAAGAAGCTTGAGGCATTGAAGTGGACTCTCGGGGCTCCTACAGGAAGGGATAGTTTGCCGAGTTATCGAACTCAGGGAAAACAAAAACGACCTCAAACTGAGGCCCATAGATTTCTCGAGACTCCTGGAATGAGGGGAGGAAGTGGGCTGTCTGGACAGAAAGGTTTAAGACGTCGAAGGCCAGATAAACTTGATCTTGGTGAGCGTGGAAAAACCCCAGGAACAGGGGCACTCCCAGCTGATCCCGGAAGTGAGGCTCCTCCGCCCATACCGGTACCTTTTACAGTTAAAACCCCACTTTCTCCTATTCAAGAACGAAGGTCGGAACCCGTTGGTTATGATACACATCCTGGAGTTGCCCGGTTTTTAGGAAATATGGCAGCGGAAAGAATCAGGAAGGAAATGCTAGCAAAAGGTCTAGAACCGGCGGACCTAGATGAGATGAGGAAAGAGGTCGATGAATTTGCGAGGCCTCCTCGGACCGATGCTGCGACATTAGCTAAGAATGCTGCGGCCGAGTTAAGAAGACAGGAAAGAATCAAGGCTGCCAAGGAAAGATTGAAAAATGCTGCCGAGGCGCAGGAGGAGAGACTGAAGGTTATAGCGGCTAAGCAAGCTAAGGATCTTGAGAAAGGTATATCACCCAAAAGCGCTTTTTCTTGGGAAGATCCGGATAGTAGGGCGGCTGCTGACAGGATGGAAGGGGGGAAGGGGAACGAGAAGGATGGTGAAAGATTGCAGAGGGAGATGGCGGAGAAGAAAAGGATGGAAATAGAAATGGAAGAGAAGAAAAGGCTGGAAAGAGAAATAGAGGAGAAGGAAAGGCTGGAAAGAGAAGAGGAGGACGAAAGAAAAGAGAAGAAGGAAAAGCCGAAAGAAGAAACGCCATGGCAAGAACTTCTCAGACAGATAGAGGAGGAGAATAAAGAAGAAAAATTAAAACTGGAGGAGAAGAAAAGACGCGACAGAGAAGCGGTGTATGCAGGATTGCTCGAATTACACCTAGAGGAAGAAAAATTTCGCAAAGAACAAAAGGCGGAAACAGAAAGATTGAAAAGAAAAACACAGGAAAGAATAGATGCTTTAAACAAGCCCGGGGAAAGTTTTTCTGAGCTACTTTTTAAAGATTTGCTAGAGAAACATCGAGTTGAAGAGGAAATTCGGAAAGGGTTGATTGAGGATGAATTAAGAAGGGAAAAGGAGGAAAACGCTGCTAAAGAGAAGAAGAGGAGGGAAAGAGTTAGAAACGGGGCTGCGATTGATTTAGATGGGATAGTGAATCATATAGCCGATAAAGCGAGTCGTTCTGGAAAACAACCTAAGTTGCCAATAGGGGATGCAATAAAAGAACAGGAAAAGGAGGTACAGGATTATATGACAATATTGAAGAATGAGCTGGGGGAGATTGTACGTGGAAAAAGAAATTCAAAAGGATCAATTGAGCAGCAAGAACGTGAGCTGATTGAACAGAGGATTAAAGAAGAGTCTGAAATAAGAGAAAGAGAAAGGGAAAGGGAAAGGGAAAGGGAAAGGGAAAGGGAAAGGGAAAGGGAAAGGGAAAGGGAAAGGGAAAGGGAAAGGGAAAGGGAAAGGGAAAGAATTCTAGAAGCGCAGCGAGAAGCAGAGGAATTAGAATCAAAACCGAGAGAGGAACGTGATTTAAAACAAATAATGGAAAAAGAAAGGGAAGAACTTCAAAAGGCAGCTGATCTAGAACAGCTAGGTGATTATGAGGATGAATCCAGCGAGGAATTAAGCTTCTTTCAAAGTATCTCCCTCAATTTACGTGTCCCCAGGCTTTCCTGGCTCGGTAGAACCGATCCCGAATTCTCAGACGATGATTCCCAGAGCGAAAGTTCACAGCATAGCTTATTCGATGTTACAGACGAGGATTCAGACTTCCTTGATTTATCTACACCTCCTCCCGGCCCTGCGGATACAAAGCCCTCTCCTGATGCCCAGGCCTCGACCCGTGCTAAGGCAACGAAGGAACCGAAAATTCATCTTCACCTCACGATTTTTACACATCCGACGCAGCATTTATCGGATGTGGCTTCGTTGCATTATATCTGTTATGAAGATGTTCGATTATCGTGGAAAATATCACAATTGATAGATTTTCTGCGCGCACCTACAGAAGTAAAAACGAATCCTGGGACATTAATACAGGATTTCCCGGGCTTTGTGGGGTTTAGGAAAGAAGATGGGGAGGTTATTGCAGAAGGGAGTCCGGAGGTGAAGAATATGAAATTGAGGATGGGGAGGTGGTTAGATCGTGGGAATAGGACGCTGTTGGAAGAGGGGTTTAGGGATTGGGATAATTTGGTTGTGCTTATGGTGGGTGACGGGGAGAATCTTGAGGAGGGGGATTGGAAGGATTGTGTTTGGGAGGCTGATGGCGTGGCGGGTTGGAGAGAAGGGTGGCCTGGGGTGGGGAAGACGAGGGTGCCGAAAGATAGGGAGGGTTGGGTTGGGGAATTGTGGGATGATCACTTTTTTGTGATGCAGTAGTTGGTTAGGACTTTGATTTTGAGTGAGGGATCCGGATGAGGTAAATATGGTGTTTTGATTTTTGCTTGTGCGAATTGTGTAGATGTGGTTACTTTTGACGTTATAGTCTGTAGCAATATATGAGATTTTTAATCAACTTAACAATATCCTTGATTTTCTATGATGGAAACAGAGCATTTTGTATTTCACTCGTCTCCAGGAATGTTATACGGAATGGGTATATACTGGAGCATTGTGTTCGTCGGTCTTCATAGATCCCACCGTAAAGAATAATATTTGGTCTACTCCGCGCTTCTTTCCATTGGCAGAAACTTTGTGCTCACTTGAAGTCATAGAGACGGTAATGAATCTGCACCGAAAGTATCAAAGAGAAAAAGATGTTTGTTTTCATGTCATTATCAGCCATTCTTTAGGCTTTTGATCAGTTGCACAAAGGATCATCATATCTTTGCTATGCCTTGCACTTTTTCATGTTCTTATTTTTCTTGACGGGTGATGATTTGCGGAAAATCTGGACCACGACTGCAATTTTGGATACAAATAAGGGGGAATCTGACCTCGGGAAGAATTGTGTGATATTTTGGGGAATAAAGTCAACAATGATATGCCCAAAGACCCAGGAAACAGGGAGGCTTGGCTTTACCATTTACATGAAGCGCATGAAGAGTATCCGGGGAAAGGAAGCAAGGGAGATGAGGATTCAAAAGTTTAGCTTGGATCCTATTCACGCCATGGATATTTGATTCTGAGATGAAATTGGAGATTGATTGGTGCAGACAGTGGGTAGGGAGTGGATTAACTTCATGAATTCGATCCAGTCTTATGAGTTCTTATAATTCAAACATTTAATTCTACTTGCTTTTGGTTGCAGTGTCATACAGTGACACACTGAGACACACGTGCATGCAAAGGTTCCGAAATTATTCTTCATCATATTTCCATTCTTTAGTATTTCCTTATCATCTACTCTTTTCAAAGATCGCCGCACATTGAATTATGGCGCCGAATCTAGCCGATGCATTTCTCAACTTACCCAAGGCAAAGGCAATTATTTTAGACATGGTTAGTACATATATTTTGGCTATTGGATTTTTACTACCACCGTCACCCACAGATACAGAGACCTTGTGACGATGTACACTTCCAGACCCCTTCTCCTCATCAATGTACCTTAAAAGCTACAATAAAATGACTTCGGGAAATGAAAAATTTCACTTCAAACACAAAGTGACCCCCGCAATTTAAAAGATAGGCGGGTAAGATAAACATTATATTTTGTTTGTTTACTGATTTGAATAATTTCCGCTCAAAAATTACAGGAACCACGGTGAAGATACAACAGGTGCATAGAATTATACCCTATACAGGTCTATTTCAAAACCCTTTCTTGTTTTGCTCTTTCTTTATTTCCCAGATATAATTAATGAATTTGAGAGTATCCTCTCGCGATACATTTATTCTTCGACGCATGCGAAATGGAATCTCTTTCATTGTTGAAAGGATTTATGATAGCAAACTCTCTGCCGAACTCAGAGACCCGTGCACCAGGCATCTCCCCTGAGGGTAAGGTTAATTAAGCGATAATGGCTCCCGGAGATCCAAAACGTCTACTTCGAAGAATTGATGTGAAGACTAGGGCTCCGCAATTGTTGGTATCTTCAAAAAATTGTATTGGCTTTATTCAAGGCCTCACAGGCGCCTCTCCTTCCTTCCGTTGTAAAATATGGGTGTCCGTTCTTTGCTAAAATCAATGTCTTAGCAAACCCTATCAAGTCTTAAATAGGAAGTCTAAGATAGCTTCATTCTCACGTGGCATTATAGGGTAATCTTCTCCAGGGCTAGATATAATTATTGGTAAGAGTAAATGGGTCGGCTCTTATAACCGAATATTCCAACAATGGCATTCACCTCGCAGATTTTGTTTTCAAAAGCTTTCAAGAGTGTGTCTCCCGTGTATGGCTACCATTTTTGGATAGAGCCAGAGAGATACACACAAAATTTTCCTGCAAATTGAGAATATCCTAGAAATTAAATTTATGATGCCCAGATATTGAGAAATTTAAAGGTAGGAAGATTCGTTAAATAGCACCTGCAGCATCGCCGCCATATCACTGTCATTATCGTTAACGTAGATATAGATCTAACAATACACGAAGAAACAGCAACAAAAGCTAATCAATAAGAAAACAACCGATTTAAATTCTTATGTGGCATCAGTAAACCCCCTCGTCTAGGATTGAGCCATAGTAAACTGACACTCATTCCCGCACACAGCCCTAAACTCCACCCCTGATTATTGAAATCTGTTTGATTCCTCAAAATTGTCAGCTTGACCCGGTATTGATATAGATGTCGAAAATGATAAAACTGTATTGAGATAATTAGAGTGAATTCTTACACCAATGGCAAACTAGTGTGTGGATCTAATCTACATTTCTGTCTCGAGTCTCGGGGTGCCGGATTCGCTCTTCCCGGTCAATTTCATAATTCACAAGTGTAGTCTATATAACTCAACAAAGAACCATATCTCTGCCCAATTAAATAAAGAACATTCTTTACATAAATTTATGCTTCCTGATGAGGGGGATGTCCTTTTCGAACTTCAAGGAAATATGAAGCGGGTATTCTGGCGTATGTGCCCGGAAAGAATCACCATCAGGTAGAATTTGATCACCTTTTATAATTTGATTATTATAGTCAGCTAGAAAGTAATAAGTATAGTGATGATGATGATGATATATATACGACAGCTATATATGACAGCATTAACCAGTATATACAACATTCCAATTCATTTTACTATACCAAGGTGGAATTGGGCAATCCTATACTTTACCCATCATTAATTTATAATGAACTTAATTTTTTTTATTTTATAAATGATTCCAATTGGAAGGTATCAAACTATCTTACCTGCAATCAAAATCTACGCCCGTTTCCTAGATGCCAGCTAATGTCGATGATCTGCTAGGCACAATTATGAAAATAATAACAAAAATTTGAAGAATTGTCAATATTCAAGAATAATTTACGGTAGTAAAAATAACAGTATGAAAATTTTGATGGAGATGGATGAATAATGAAAATAATCAGAAGATGATTTAATTATCAACTAGTATACCATACTTAATGTCTGCTATCCTGGGAATTTTAACAGAAGCATCGATTGATTTCAAGAATGAAGAAGCCGTCATTGGAAACTCTTGTCCGGTAAATAAAAGCACGGTTACGAAAAATGTGTCATAATTGGAAACATTGTAATACCATAGCTATATTCTATGCCTAGCTACATACACAAGATTTTGTTGCACCGTAGATCAAGCCGTACCACCAGCAATCAGGAGATATGCAGCGATTGAATATCTCCAGCGGCATGTAAAATATCGGCTTGTCATCTGTTAAGGACCACTCGCCTCGTGATCCTAGGGTAAAGTCTTAAGCTTTTGTTTGCAAGGCTAGTCTTTTCCATGGGAGTGAAAGTCGCATTTTGATAGTTTTTTGTTGGGTCTTTGGTGGCAAAACCGACAAAATTTGATCCTCAGAAGTTGAGGAAGTCTATCGTCCGGGTGGGATTTCATAATCATTGCCACTCCTTCTGTGACCCAATTGGCAGCATGTGCCCTTGAGCGAAGATGAGAAACGCTATATGACATGCTGTAACACATAAATTTTTCGAAGACGTGAACCCATTGGTGTGAGCTCATACACCTACTGAACCCACTCGGCCCTCGCGAGCTCGGACAATTTCGGAAGTTCCTCAAAATAATACTAAAGATTTGATCCATAGGATCAACCAAATAGAGCTTACCTGGAAGAAAATACAGAATATTGGGTTCCAGCCCAGTTAAATGAAGAATTCCCGCTTCCGTCCACGCAATGAGGGTTGGCGATGTACCAAGATACACTCGACCATAAGAAGATCGAAACTTTGTGGAGAATCTTCTGGAAAGAATTTTTTGCCCTCAAGAGCCTCGATGAAGCCACTTGAAAACATCTTTTGGAAATATGGAATCTTGTAACAAAAGTATACCTCGATGAATTCGGAAATTTTTCTTCTCTGGACTCGCATAAAGATCGACCGTTTACATTCCATTATCCTAACAAATATTCAGAAAAGGTGCGATCTAGATTTGAAGAAACATCAACATACCCGTAGAATTCATGGGTTTCTCTTCGGGACCGCTTTAGGGAGACAGCATCAGCTCTTTTCTGTTCTGTTATATCCCGATTTCTTTTCGGTTGGCATCGAGCCAGACCCGTTCCCTTCTCAACTTGATGCAACATAATGACAATTCCGGCATGCAGTGGATATACTCAGGCCAGATACCTGCCTTGCATAGCCATCCCGAAGACAGCTTAGATTGGCCACTTTTCGATCTTTATGTCCTGGCTGACAAGTTCTGTATTCCAGACCTAATGGATCAAATATTGGATGCATGTCTTGACTGCATGAAAAAGTGTAATTGGACACCTGCAGCAGACTCCTTGCAACACATGCATGATTGCTCTACCCGCAAATCCAGTGGCATGTCCCGACTCGTAGCCGCTTTAGTATGCTACGTCCTGTGCACATATCGATACTCGAATGCCGAAGAGGAATGTCCAAGGGGGGAACTACACACGCTCCTTGGTAACAATGAAGATCTTAGACTCCAGGTTTGCAAGACACTCAGAGCGCATCCTAACGGGAAAGTGTTCATTGATCCATGTGAGCGTGCATGTTACTGCGACTTTTACGAGCACGCAGTAACGGATCCTTGTCCTCGATCAATGAAATAGGGAGTTGGAGAGTTCAAGAGCGTGATAAGATAAGATGCCCCGGAATTTGTGTGGAGGAAAGGGATTCGATAGAAATCCTATGAATGGCAGTGCAGTATTTCTCTATGGTCTGTGTTCTTTTGATAAGTGATTCTCGTGAATATGTGACAAAGAGAAGCTGTACATCTTCCCCCGAGTTGAAGTTGTGGAAAAAGTGCTTCTCTACTTGGGTTGGAAGTAAATGCAAGCTCAGACCCAGCCAAGCCAGGGTGGGGATGTTCTAAGGTTAATCTACACGTGATTGTGGATCTCCATATTACTTCGTACTAGACCTCATTTTAAGATTCGAAAGAATATATATAAATATATACATGTATATGTATAAACATATATATACATACGTAGTACAATAGCTTTAGTCACATACTTCCCATAAAAACCCAGCATCCCAAATACGGAGCACAAGCGCAAGTTAATTCCGACATCCGCTCTACCCTCCAATGACGTAACCAACAGCTACCCGTGTGAATCCGGACCAGAACTTCGGCAACATCACATACAGAGTAGAAAGCTTATCAAGGAACATCGGCACCATCATATTGACGTCTACTACAAAAAGAATAAGAACCACTAATTTATGTGATTGTTCCAAGCTTTTTCTATTATCTTTGGCTTCTATTTTGTTTAATAAATTGCTCTATTCTTTCTCTTCTCTTCTCCTTCTCGTTCTACTTTTCAATCATAAATAAAATAATACACCGAGGGCAGTTACGATAAGGAATTCCAATATCCAGACAACAAATATTAACCAACTTCCCTCAAAATAATCAATTGACCTACCTCAAGATGCCTTCCCTCGAGAATGCACTGCCGCAGCCCAAGATCGAGCTCTACAGTGGAAAATACTTTGCAGCTTGTGGTCTTGGTGGTATAATTGGTACGTTGCACCTTACCCCTCCTCCGGCCATCCCATACCTCAATTGCACAACCAACCCCGAAGAAATGTACTAACAATTCACCTCTCAGCCTGCGGCCCAACCCACACAGCCGTAACTCCTCTCGACCTCGTAAAATGCCGACGCCAGGTCGACTCCAAACTCTACACGTCCAATTTATCCGCCTGGTCCAAAATCTACCGCGCCGAAGGGCTTCGTGGAGTCTTCTTCGGTTGGTCACCCACATTCGTTGGATATTGTTTCCAAGGAGGTGGAAAATACGGATTCTACGAAGTATTCAAATATGTATACGGAGAGAAATTATTTCCAAACGCGAATAAAACGGCCATCTTCTTAGGTGCTAGTGCTAGTGCCGAGTTTTTGGCTGATATGGCTCTTTGTCCTTTTGAGGCTATCAAAGTGAGGATGCAGACCACTTTACCGCCTTTTGCGAGTAGTCTGAGGGAAGGCATGGGAAAGGTTATTAAAGAAGAGGGATATGGAGGGTGAGTTTTCCATTTCCCCGACCAGTTCTCTTGTGGCTGGAAAGAGATGTAATGCTAACAGAACACAAAATAGCCTCTACAAAGGTCTCTACCCTCTCTGGGGCCGTCAAATCCCCTACACCATGGTAAAGTTTGCCACCTTTGAAACCACCGTCAACAAAATCTACTCCTACCTCTCTAAACCCAAAGACTCCTACTCCTCACTGCAACAAACCGGAGTTTCTTTCCTCGGAGGTTATATCGCCGGTATTGGCTGCGCCGTGATTTCTCACCCGGCAGATGTGATGGTATCAAAACTTAACAGTGATAGAAAAGCAGGAGAAGGAGCTGGAAAAGCCATGACGAGAATTTATGGAAATATTGGGTTTCAGGGACTCTGGAATGGTTTGCCGGTTAGGATTGTGATGATTGGTACTTTGACGGCGTTTCAGTGGTTGATTTATGATAGTTTCAAGGTGGCGTTGGGGTTGCCTACTACAGGGGGTCATTAGAGTAGATGGGTGACTTTTGAGTCATAAAAGTTTGGGAAAGAATGGGAGATTGGGGAAAAGGTATGGAGATTTGGAGATTTGGAGTTGGTGAAACAAATGGATTGGTGCTTTGAGGGTTTTATGAAGTATGTATTAATGATATGAATTAGAGACTTTTACATTCACATTTGAAATCCTGGGTACAATATCATTTAGCTGGATAGTGAAAGATTTTTCTGTGAAAGTTCAAGGATAAAACACAATAGACTTTCCAGGAATCTAGCAGCGATAAATGAGTTGTTAGACGGAGTTGAGCGTTTTCTGGATGCTTACTCGCTGCGATGGAAAGGACTACATCATCCGTTGGTTGTGGTGTAGCGGGTTTGACAGTTTTGTTACTTACCCTATGATATCCCCAAAGCTTTAAAAAAGTATCCAAATAAACAATATACTTGCAGATTGTGGTTGAAAATACATTAAAAATATCCTCGAGGAGGTAACGCTAAGCGAATATTCGCCATCTTACCTACCTAGGTACCAAGTGTTTGGTTTGGATCTTGGTATTGCTCTAATACCATACCTACTAGGTAAAAGATGTTTAGAATCTTCACAACCATATCGCAATCTAGAATGATAAAACGCAGCAAAATCAATTTATCCTTTTTGGAAATTATCCACAAACTGAGCTTTGAGCTTACCGGCGTGAGCTTTCTTTGTCCTGCCTGCCATTCTTGGCGATAGATTGCAAGTCCACAAAGAGAAAGATGAATGGGATTTATAAAAAAGGACAAGGTTGATTGAGCATACTAAGTATACAAAGCTCGTCTCCCGAATATCAGACTAAAATTATGCATACATAATTCACTACAATGTTTTGGAGATAGAATAAAGTAAAACTCAGGGAGAGAATACTATGTTAAGATATATAAACACACCAAGAAATCATTTCGAGATGGGAGAATAAAAAGTAAAAAGTTGAGATTGTAAAGTATAGCTAAGCTATCTACTAAAGATATCATTTCATGTCATAATCCGTTTCCGTCCATCCGTCCATCCGTTCCTTTCCCAAATTCCTATCAGAAGCTATTTATCTAGCCAACAAGCCATTGTATTCTATGCTTTGCATGATAAATTCTTTCATTCCAACTCCGAGACGCCTTAAATATCAATTCCATCAACAACAATACCCTTCTTCCATTCATACTCCATAAACTTAGCAATCTCCGCAGCCGTCTCTTCATTGACCATAACACTGACGAGATACAAACTAGCATCTAGTCCACATGTAATAGCACCAGTGGTAATAACACGAAGACCACCAAGACGTAAAGCAGCTCTACGAGCGTTACTCTCACGACGATTGTTGGATTCCTTCCAAGCATTGGAGCCTTTACGAGCATTGGATGGACGTCTAGCATCTGACTTGCGACGAACGTATTGGCTCTCCTCTGGAGAATCAATATCAAAACGAAGATTATTCACCACATATCTCTCTTCAACTACATCACAACGTTCCGCCAAATCTCTTTGTGCCGCCTCACTATTGATATTTTCGAACTTGGCGAAGTAATCTGGGTGGGTGGTAGCGGAAAGACCATGAAGGATACCTTGTTGAGCAAGGAAGAGAGATCCGGTACAGATAGAAAGAAGTGTACGTTCCTTCTCGGGATGCTTCTTTTGCAAGTCGGAGAAGGCTCTAATGAGACCAAGAGGTTCGGCTTTGTTCTTGAGGACTTGATCAGATCCACCACCTGGAACAATGAGGATATCATATTCTGAGAGGCTGGCATAAGCGTCTTTGTAGTTGAAGTGAGCACGGAATGCAGCTCCTTGATTGGAAACGGTGAATTCCTCGGCAGCAACGAACTTGCAATCGAATGCCTTGGATTCTGAGTTGAAAAGATGAAGGTTAGCGATTGAACCAAGGAAGGAAGGATGATGAGTAGGAGTAAACAAAGAGAGATTTCCATCATCTTAAATATACGAGTATCTAATCATCACAAGAATGGGTTGATTCAACTTACTTGGATCATTAATATCATGCTGAGCACGGGTAAGGACTTCAAGAGGACCGATGAAATCCAAAGCATCCATGCCAGCATGAAGTGTGAATAACACTTTGATGATAGGGATCTCAGGTGTTGACATGATTGCGACTGAAGAGTTTGGTGCAATAGGTTGATTGATATTGAATTGATGAAGGAGAAAGTTGTTGATGAGTGAAGAAGATGATTGACTTGATTGATGTAGAAGATGATTGAATTGACTGAAGATGAGAAGAAAGAAGAAAGAAGGAACTTGGTAGTCCTCCCTAGTATTTATTGAAAGTCAAGCTCAAGTCGTACGACCAAGAGTAAAAGATCATCACATAACTCACGTGTTGTTAGAATGCGGGGTAGCTGTGTGAGGACGAATTGACTTTTCCTGATATGGGTTAGGGTTGTGATCAGACAATGCGGGGGAATTGTACCCCTGTTGTTAATTTGATATTGATAGTAAAGTACCGGCAGTGCAGTGCTCAGAACAGAGTACCCATAATATAGTATTCACAACATAAGATCTTACATATACACTAGGCAGTCATGAAATGTACTCATCACATCGGGTCATATTATACTACTCATAATATATGGAGTAGTATCTATAACATAGCAGTCATATTATCATATTCATATATAATAGGTAATTATAATAGGAATATAGTAGTTATCTATAATACCAAACCCATAATGCAATCCCCCTGCTACTTCATTCAACCCTTCACAAAGAGGGGAAATCTTTCCTTCATTCAAACCTCAAAGTTAACCTACGAGTAGTCAAACCTGACTAATCATTCACAAACAACTTAACCGACCCCCACACCATACGATACGATGAAATCTGATCCACCCAATCATACCACCGACTTTTGACATGATTCGATGGTATGATTGGATGATTGAATGACGGAAACGCGTGTTCAATTGAACGATTTAAGGTTCGATTTCCATCCATGTACTCCGCATAGTATAAACTTACAAAATTCAAAATTCCCTCAATTTATGGATCTTGTACCATCGTATCAAATCATGATGGCCGGTGGTGTGTTGGTGGCGTCGACCGATCAGTAGTGATTGATATCCTCCTTATTGGATGGGTAAATTTAGATACTTGGTATGACGATGCTAGATGGTTGTCGAGACCAGCCAACTTTGAAAATGTAGTCTTCATCCACCTACCATTCTGTTAAGTGTGGTGGTGCTCTTCTCTCAAGCATCACAAGTATAGATCTTTCTTATCCTCGTTATCATTTCAATCGGATATATCACTCTCCTCTCTCCTTGTATCTATGCAAAGTGCAGCTTCAGAGCTGATCATTCACCATGGTGCTGTCATACTCAATACACCCTCACTTGCTTCTCATTTTGCTATAGGCCAGTTATAAGCTAGGTCCTCTCATAGTTTGTCTTCTGAATGATATTGGCCAATTCGTTGTCGATGATTGAAAATCATGTGACGTGGTTCAGCTTTCATCAGCCACCGCAAGTACAACAGTATGGCTTGGATACATTTCTCACTAGCGACTTGATAAAGTTTGAAGCATTTGGGGGAACCATCTTCTACCTCACCTCAGAAGTTTTGATTATTCAATAAATTGTGGATTTTAATGATTGGAGACATCGTTTATCTCTTTACAACTACATTCGTACCACCATAACTCTGTGTTTCGGGTCTCCCCCACTCCATTTATTGGCTCTTTTCCAACTTTATCACTATGGGTAGTATATCCACTCTCCCTACATCAATCAAAGAGATTAACCTGTCTAAATTTTCATCAGTCCAAAATGCCCTCAAGTCAAAACACCAGTTCGGATGGGGGATGAATTGATTGGTCTACCTAAAAAAAATAGAAGTCATGCAGAAGATGTTTTTGATGAATTCAATTGCCTTAATCTGAACATCACTACTCCTGATAGCTCGAACGAAAATTACCAATTACCAGTTATGGTTTATATTCGTGGTGGCGGAAGTTGGAGCGGAGCTAATTCGATTGATGGTGTGATGGGAGAAGTAGGGTAAAGCAAAGCATTAAGATAGGAAAACCTACTGTACACGTTGCTGTCAAGTGAGCTTGCAATCTTTAATCAACTGGAAGCATAGGAAAGGGTTCATACTAATGTGACACAGTTATCGACTTGGTACTTTCGGCTATATCGGCTCTGAAGAGCTAAGGAAAGAGCTTGAGAATGTTCATGGTGGGAGTTATGGTAATGTCATGTTTCCTCCCAGCACTCTATCTAAATATAGCTGACGAATAAAGGACTTCGCGACATAGTAAACCTCCGACCTCTTCTTATTATCATTATAATAACGATTTCATTAGCACCTTGCCCTAACTTGGCTTTCCAAGCATATTAGGCCCTTCGGTGGTTCACCATCTAACCTCACCATCTACGGCGAATCAGCCGGGTCCTTAGCTGTTGAATCTCAAATTCATTCTCTCCTTCCTCCTCATTTCTACCGGGCAATTATGCAAAGTCAAACAATGGGATAACTCTTTTCCATCCCTCGATGTATTGATGAGAAGTCTCAACTGTACAACAAGACAAAAGAAAAATTAAGACTTACCACTGTAAAAGAAATGCAGGAAATTAATTGAGGCTTACAGGGCTGTAGATGCGAGAGCTGGCCTAGGTGAGCTGGCAATGGTGGATGGAGAGTTTTTTTATGAGGATTGGGGGGCGAGGTTTTCGTTCAAAAGAAATGGTGGAAAGTATGAGGGAAGAAAGTCAGAGATAATGATAGGCAATACAGCGCATGAAGGCTCAGTCATAAAATTCATTATGATAGGCTCCCTAAAACAAGATTCTCGACCGGATATCAAAATACTGATGACCTCGCTAAGCAAAATATCTATAGCGAGAAGGTAGACGAGAGACTCAAAGCCTATAATCTCCTCCCCGATACCCTCCACAAGACCTTATCCGAAATCGAGCAAACATAATTTGCAGAGCAAGTCCTAACAATCATCGAAGATCATTTTCTACAAGGGTACAGAGGAATTTGTCGCTTTGGCATAAAAATCTCGTCCAGAATTGAGAATCGGACAGTGCATTTTTAAACAGAAAAATCCATTTTCGACAAGCTGGAATTTTTAGGGGGATCGTGGTGCATGCATTGGATTTGGTGTATTTGCATGGCTCTGAGAACCTTTTTGGGAAAATGAAAGGGTAGTGGATCTTGGCGTTGAGGATAAGGAGGGGGAATTAAGAATGATGCAAGAAATGCAGAGAGCTTGGATATGTTTTGCTTATGGGGAGAATGATGAAGTGTATGGGGTAAGTGCTGTGAAAGTTTTCGGACCAGATGGCAAGGTTGGGTGAATAAGAACAGAGGAGTTTATAAAGGAAAGAGGGTATGAGAGATGGAAGGTTTTTGATGGTTTGAGTACTATGCAGGTCTATGGGGGGCTAGTCGGAGAGGGGTAGGCTTGATCTAGAGTAATTGTTTCTATCCTTCTTTAGCCCGCATGATGTCCTTTCATAACCCTATTAGGTATTGTTGACCTCCTGGGATCTTGGCAGCATATGCATATATATTGCATGATGCATATAAGGAGCAAACAAAACTCAACTTTTAATTCATTCTTTCCTTTTCGGTATACTGTTTGTTTGCTTTCAATATTTTGATTTCAAAGCACTTTAATTCCGAAGGCCGAATACCTAACCCTATTCCTTCATTTTTTGAATATATACTCGCAGCTTAACTGCTTAGCTAGAGAATCAATCAATTCAATCTGATGCTCTTTTTGGTCTCAAGAAACCCAATAGGTATAACCTGGAGAACTTGTGAGTAGTATTTTCATCCAATGGTTTCTTTATTCTTCAATTTGGTATGAAATGTGCTTTTACGTACACAATTACCCTCTCAAACTTCATGCAGCTCGGGAAAGAACAAATCCTCGTTATATTATGGCTTTAGTAAACTTCTTGCAATCTCAAAAATAGAACTTTTATACATCCTCGATCAAATAATCACCGATTAACGATCAATATTAAATTTTATCGGTCGAACATTAAAAAATAACTGATTCGCTTCTTCCACAGGGCGGAATCCAGCTGATAATTACATGAAAATTCGGATTGCAAAGAAGATGTGGAATCTTCCTACCCCTGTTATGAAGCTTCTTCGTAACCTCGAAGTATGCCTGGGAATAAACAACTAGTGTTGAATTATCAATAAGGGGACTCAAACTGGTAATATTCAGTCAACATGGAACAAAGGCGAGCTCAGAAAAAGAGTTTTATCATCGTCTATTTGCCATTACCATTTTTTAGTCCCACCTTTTACTGTCACTAATATTTAGATCTATTATATACTTTTGTTCACAACCTGGAAATAACCCTTGAATCCTTGATAAATGCTGAAAATAGCAAGTCCTTAATCCGTAATTCACACAATTCTCCAGCAACTAATTTTCTAAGTAAACCTTGGTAGAATAAAATGATTAACCTCCAACTCTCCGACGTTGCGGTATGACAAATGGAATGTAAGCGCAAATACACGAGACATGACAGGCGAGGTACAAATTTATATGTAATAATTACTGAATTTACCTCCTTTATCTTCTTCATTATGTTCCATAGTGATGATATTGGAAGGGGTTAAGTTTCACAACAGACATAATTCATTCTCACTTCGATAAGTAGACAGATCCCTTTTCACTGTCGTTCAAAGAGAAGAGGAGGACATGGCATTTGAGATGACAATCAAGCTAACAGATAATTCTACTACATAACTTTACACGTTGATTAAATACCATCTGTCTGACTGCTTACCGCATTCAATATCCTGAGTTCTTTGTCCATCGCTGTCTCATGATTCTCCTCTGCGAATTTGTTGTGCTTCTAAATTTAGAACCTGTGAGACTTTATACTTGGAGAGATTAATTTTCGGCTAGATGTATGCTTGGTCATGAGTTCCCAGCGCATATAGCAAATATGGTACTATGAGCATATACACTGGTGAATTTAGTGAATAAGAAGGGGCGAACAGATAGCTAATGCGTCTTATTTTTAACTTCAAATTTCAAAATTACATACTTCTGTGACTTACTAACTACTCCGCCCACGCCGGTGTTCAACTCGTTAACCACAGTCTTTGCAATATTTAAGAGGACCGTAGCCGTCTATTTAAGCACTCAAATTTTGAAATATTCCAAATCCGGCTTCACACATGCACTTCTGTGTAATACTGAAGAGTCGTTCATTGGGTTGAACTGCTTGCATATAAACTGGGTGAGAGAATGACTGAAAGAAGGACGTAAGAAAAATTCGTTATCATTAATTAGAATCTTAGGACTAAATGCCGTTGGTTATATTTAGGGTAGGATGATATGTGTGTCAGCATTAGGACTTAATCAATGGCGATTGATGTCTCCGAGCAGCAAAATTGTTAGAAGTTGTCTTTTACTATCCCATCTTTCCTAAATCTTCAGTCCAGTCATTTGAACTCATGTATAGCCCCTGGTAGTTTTAACAGTACGAGAGCTTTCTTTTGCGATTGTGTATTGTGCTTTCTCCGGGACGATTTAAGGGTATCATTTGTATATCTTTTACCTTACCGGTTTTCTTCCACTAAAGCCTCGCCATACCACCCCCCTTCCACCCAAAAGAAAGATCGATAAATCTCGTTGCATGGTAAACAAAAGCCGTAGTATTAAAAATCATTTTAGATTAAGCTAAGAGTCAGAAATAGATCGCATACTCTAGCTAAACGCACGACATTATCTTACTTCCTAGGTGTAAGAAAAGAAGAGAAGGTAGAGTCACATGGAACAAAAACGCATGAATGAAGTGACACTTTAGATGAGCCGATATTTCCATGCAACCTACTACCACCCTTCTATTAGAATCTTTGTGTCACAGCTGTTTCTCCGGTAGCAATCCCTAATACATACCTTAAATTTACGCCTCGGCTCTAGGGGAAGCTTGACAGCAATGCCTTGAGAATACTCTTAGCTACAATAGATAGCTTCCATACTCAGGGCACATTTTCGAAAGATATGGGTTCTTTTATACAGCTTCTCTGCTACTAAAAATGCAATGTCACCTCTTGTAGTTCGGCTACCCGAGCGTGGAAAATTGAGGTTAACACAATTCCCCTGAACCCGTCGGTCACAAGAGTTTGTAAAGAGTTGTGCTGACAAGAAAGTGTACTCTCCATGATAGGCTTGATGGAGCCGATGATCTTTCATTCATGAAAGCTTTACATGCGACACGCCTTACTATAGTGGTGGTAACATGAATTAGGCCGTATACTGCTCCCATCACTGGTTCTGAGTTGACTTGAGGATCAAAATTGTGCAACTATTCCACCACTCATATATAAACCAATAGATGGGACTAGCTAGAGTCACGAGTAACAGTCCACATTGTAACACCCGAAGCTCGAAAAACTCTTCAATGACAATCTAGATTGGCTACATCAATGATGTGTAAAGCCTGGTTATTTTTTGCTGTATTCAACGTGACATCCAGACTACTAAAGTTTTATCACTCCTCGAAGCATCCATACTCTCTACCATCTCCTCTACAACCGCATCATTATTACAGGTAAGACTGTAAGACCAAAAGTTCATTGTCCCCTTTCTCAATTGCTACAGCCTAACAGTCGTGGTTACAATAACCTTGAGGGCTGCTTGAACCAGACCGGACTCATTGTAGGCAAAGCCCAATGCCGTTTTTCAGTCGTTCCAAGCTCCGATAACGGCCTTTCCTATACTCTGCTGGATCAGGTCTGAACTCATACTTGTATACAATACTTCGATTTCTAGGGATGGGATCCGCCATGTTTTCTGCCGCCTCTATTGCTTCGGAGACAGAAATACCAAGCAAATTCGCTGGCCAAAGTTGCTTATTTTTTAATAAATTTAAATATGCACATGTATATTTACACATCCAACCGCGCATATGAACACACATCCCGGTCCGTTCATTGATCCCTGAGATAAGGAGTTCCGATAGTTCTAAACTTGCAAAGCTTCTCTGTTGTTCTAGCAAGCCTTTGGATTTGATTGTTAGTTTCAGGCCGGAACCGGCAATGATTTACTCACGGAATACTCTCCAAGTCAAAACTGATTCAATCCCTTTGCATGCAAGATTGAGATATGGAGCAGGGTATTTGAGGATCAATGCCTTCGTAATTTTCTTGAACGCTTGTGCATTTTGGAACAGGTATGCCGCCGCGGTGAGAAACATGAGGTCGTCAGCTCCCCTTTTCTTAGTTCGTAGCAAGGTCTCGCTTGCTAATTTCATGGCGTTGATAAAATCATACTTGTCCGTTGTAATGGCAACATCTAGGACTCGACGTGCAGGAATGGCTCGAGACACCTCATTGTTCTGGTGGTGGATGATCGCGAAGATAATTTCCAGCGCAGCGGCGTTATCTTCAGGAAGAGATAACTCTATCGGTCCTTCATGGTTGAGCAGATCATGGCCTTCTTGCCAATTAGACCCAAACATAACCAAGAAAGGTTTCGATGCTGTCTTTAGAAACAGTGAATGAACGCGAAGTCTCTTCTTTCTGGGCCAACAACCAGGATAATGTCGCCATCTACAGCGAAGTTGACAACATCATTTAAATTTTTGTCTTTCGAATCTCCCATATTAATCCTTGTTTAATCCTATAAATTTCAACAGAATCACACGTGTTTTTGTCCTTTGACTTTTGGCGATCTAGAGCCGTAATTCATGAAGCCTTACTGAAGGTCGAGACTAATTGCTTACATAAGTAGGTATACTCCGTTGCGGCAAGCGATATGTATTCGCGGGACTATTGACGTGAAGTCATCATGCTCAACCACAATAGGGCGTAAAATACTATGTGAATAGTTTCAATTCCATTATAAACTGCGAAGCAGAAAGCCATGAAGGATAAGTCTTCACTACTGCAGCTTTTTGAAATAATATCGTTGGAAGAATTACCTAGGTACTACGCCACTAGCGACAGACCCAGACTTATTAGCTCTAGAGATCTGATATTCCTCACTTATAAAAAGGGGCTAATGGACTCTATATCACTGGAAGTATCTGGCCATTTGATACATGTACACGTTACTATCTAAATGAAAAGGAATACAAAAAGTTTTTTCCGCCCAATTTTCTGCGCTTTATCTAGAATATAAATCATCCATCTATCCACCAGCACCTCCGAAGAGAATTGTTCGCTTTCGGTTCCAATTCATGAGTCTCTATCGTCATTGGCTTACCACTTCTCAACTCAATTGAGAGGAAACGAAGCCTTTTGCTTTACATTACGCACTTGCGCTGAATACTCACTTGATTCGTAAACTCTATGCCATTGATAGGTATGAGAGAGAAACATAGGAAGGTAGTAATATAGAAAAATCTAGTGTTTTATCGTGTATCTATTCTGCCCTATCATATATATTCTTCTATTTTCCACCATACGATGCACGCATCGACAATTCTCCTCTTCTGACCCCTAATCTTCTCTTCCCCATCCTCCCACATGTACCTTCCCCATATCTAAGCACCAAAAACCTTAAATCTCTCCTCAAGCGGAGCGAAAGTCTTCTCTCCAGCGGCTGCAGTTGGCGTACCAAAAACGAGCTGAGCATTCAATTCCCAATCAGCTGGAATCTTCCACTGTTCGGCAACCTTAGCATCGATCAATGGAGCATAATGTTGTAAATTGGCTCCGAGACCTTCGGCCTCGAGAGCGGTCCAGATGGCATATTGAGTCATGGCATCACTCTGGGTGGCCCAGACTGGGAATTTGTCGGCGTAGGTTGGGAAACCGGCTTGCATTTTTGAGACGACACTTCGGTCTTCGAAGAAGAGAATCTGTGGTTTAGTTTATTAGCATATTGACTTCCCCAAACCGAATGATCATAGTAAGAATTCAGAATTTAAAGTAGACAGAATAATGGAAATCCTCAACATACAGAACCATAACCAGCTCTGAATCCAGCAATTCTCTGAGCAGTAGCCTCAAATTGTGCCTCTGGAACGATAGCCTTCAAAGCATCCTTGGTAATATCCCAAAGCTTCTCGTGTTCTTCCTTGAACAACAAGACAACTCTGGTACTTTGAGAGTTGAAGGAGGAAGGAGTGTGAAGGAGGATTTGTTCGACAATCTCTTGAATTTTGGCGTCGGGGATGGGAGATTTAGCCTCCAGAGTGTAGATTGTGCGACGGGCCTTGAGGAGGTCGATGAATTGTGCTGATGGAGACATTTTGTTGGTAGTATAGTGAGTAGGTGGTTTTGGGGTGTGGTTGTGAGTTGAGGATCGGTGAAAGTGCTTTCGAGATAGAGATAGAGATTGAGAGAAGAGAGTTGTGCTGCTGGACCTGATGAGCAGAGAAGTCAATCCCCTTATATACCCCCAAGCACGCAACCATCACCAACTCACCTCCAACCCAGTGGACGTCGCAAAAGTCGAGCTAGAATCCGCTCTTGCCCCGCTACAGACATTGACACCAACGACATCTCCACCTTCCCACCCAAGAATCAACCAATGAAGAGATCGGACGAGCAGAAGATATGTGGGGCTGACGGGTTGGTTGGCAATGCTAACAAATATATTGAAAATCAGAGGATTGGAAATTAATTCTAAAATTTCATTCTAACAATTTCCTCCCTCATAACCTTTTTCTCAACCATCCCACCACCCAATCCCGAGTGAGACAGACGCCAGTCGGAATTCCCCCCATGTCGGGCCCCACATGTCCAAGCTCATTGCAGTGGGATTTCCAATGCTTATGACAAGCGATGAGAAGCTGACAAACGCATTATTAAAGATTCTGGCCGTGGTGGTTGTGCACGGGTGTATCTACCAATCATCTCCTTTTCCGCACCGCAAAAACATGCAGTCATGTTAGTAAGCATGCGTAGGTACCATGATGTGCAAACATTACCATATGCTGATATAATATTACGATACATATCTCAAAACCATGTGATATTTCATGAATCGTGTAGTTTATAACCTCAGGTACTATGTATCTCCTCGACTCAATTCGATTTTACCAATTGAACTTGCATCATCTATCTACCTATTAGTATTCTTATCTAGACAAGAATCATATTTACTTTTCCCATCCTCCATCCCTCCCTGTCCTCCTTCCTCTATCTCTCCCTATCCCCCTCCCTCTATCCCTTCCCGTCCCACCCCTCATGATTTCCCGCGCCTTCTAGGTAGAGTTATTATAATAAATGTCATAACAAGAATATTACAGGATTAGATAACAGTTATCATGTATTCTATCCACTCGGAACATAACCTTGCCCGTCTGATTTTTAACGAGTGAGAATAGCCAGGGTTAAAGATAGATGGGTAGATACGTAGACAGATATACGGAGATGTATGCCATAAGTACCTATTTCTCACCAATCACATCATTTCGCCCGCGCGGCAACTACTCCGTGGAGATGGCCTCCAGGTAGGATGAAGCTTGTTTTAGCAAGCTTTTGTAAGATCTTACATGTGTTTCAGAGTGTCTATCCGATAAGGGTCATCAAGATCCACAATCCCAATGAAGAACCACCTCAAGGCTCATACTTCACAACTTCACACTTCAAACCCAAAATGTATGTCAGATTGTTTTCATTCACAGCCTATCTAGTATGTGCATAAGCATGGTAGACCACGCATTCATCCCGATAAATATCTATTTACCCTATCTCCCACCATCAATTTCCCATCATGTAGCCCCAATTGCTTGGATTATTCTTTTGCTGATATTCTATGCCATTCCCAATCCCGGTGCCACTAGTCTAAACGCCTTCAACACCAAGCTAATGAAAATCGACATCTAGATCCACCCATCAATACCCCATTGTATGCAGACATGTAACCCAAAGTCCTCCTATTCATTGCTTAAAAGCAAAAGTATCCTGCCACCGAGCAAGCGTATAGTACAGTCCAAATTCAGAATCAGATATCGACATCCTATACATCCACGGCCTTTCGTTCCATTCGCATAGTAATCGCACCCTTGGATATTTTTGGTGACAAGTGAGAACTGTGAAGAAAAAAAGAGGGAAGTGAACTTGACTACCAAGTCTCGGCAATATATTGTCCTGCTTCATTCTTCAACTTCCAAAAGTTCTTCGCTTCCTCCCTATCCAAATTACCTTTCTCCATGGCAACATCAACAAGTGCCTCCTCAACACCTTCACCCATTCCCTTACTACTGCCACAAACAAAAATTCTACCATCCAAAGCATTAATGATAAACCAGACCAAATCTGCTTCGTTTCTAACTTCATCCTGAACATATTTGCTCACTTGTTTAGTACCAGGTCTTCGACTTTGAACAACCTTTTTAACTTCCGATTCATGCACACCCCATTCACCAGAATATAATTCATCAAGAAGTGAGTCTCTAACTCCTTGAAGGACCCAAACTTTATTTGCACAATTGGCATTCTTGAGACGACGTTGAACGAATCCTCTAAATGGGGCAATTCCTACACCTGCACCCACCAAAAGCATAGGTCCATCGGAAACGAATTCTCTAGCCAGAGGATTTGCCATCAATCCTTTGAACATGGGAATTCTAACGTTGACCTTTTCTCCTCTCTTTTCAGCTTCGATAAATTTTCTGGCTTGTCGTTCAAAAAATCCTGACCCAAGACCAGTTCGATTTCCACCGCGCCAATCTTTCGTTTCATGAACAGTGACTGCGATTTCGATGAGTCGGCTACATCCTTCAACTGGTACACAATTTTCTTGAGGATCGTTTGACATGGAGTAAAATCGAGGTCTCAAAGTTTCGAGTACTGAAAGAAGATGATCGAGAGGTGGTTTGCTAGATGAGAATGCGTGAAGTAGTTGAGGGATAGTAATATGTGGTCCAGTTCTGAAATCGCAGAATGTTCCTTGTCCTTCTGCGGAACATAGATATAATAAAATCTTCTTCTCTTCTGGATCGATGGCATATTCGGCAAGTAATCGTAAAATATTCTTATTTGGGGGATATGATTGAATATCGGAACACCAAGTTAATAGATCACGTCTAGTTGTGATTAATTCTCTTGGTTTATCATCTCCCCACATTGTAGGCCATCTTCCGGAAAATGTCTTCAATAAAATCTTTCGATCACGAAGAAATCTTGGGATTGATAACAAATCCAATACTTCTTCAACCATTGATTCTTCATTTGGTGCCATAACACCAATTGCGCCACCAACCTTGAAATCAACACCACCTTCCTCTGGATAATCCGTCACATCCAGATCGAAATGAAAGGTTCTCTTCTCCGCACCAGGTTTCGTCAATTCTCTAGTGTTAAATATTCTCGCAGAGTAAACTTCATAAGGTGGATGTGGTTGAACGAACGAAGGTGGTTGAACTTTGGTGTCGACATCTGATTTTGCATGATGTGGTGTGAAGTCAATTGAACCATTTTCCATGCCAATTCCAGAATCAGTGTGCGAGATGGCCTGTTGAATATCTGCGACATCTACGACATCCATTGATGGCTCAACAGTGATGGCTCCTCGATTCTCGTTGACTTCCAAAGATTTCATACCCTCGACAAGATCTTGACCTTTCTCCTTCTGCAAAGGAAGAATCTCCATATTCTTCTCGGGTAAATCTGGCAGACTGGTCAATCGTGTAGGAATTGTGTCAATCTTTAGTTCCAAGCTCCTGTAAGCATCATCATCTGGTAACCTGGGTCTTTCATATGTGAGACCATTGGTTTTGGTAATTGCCATACAGCAACCCCCGCCACAACATTTTTCCAGCAATCTTGCACCCGCTCCTCCGATAATTCTTTGCATATCGGTAGCATTTTGTGATATAAGTTTGGTCGAGGCCCGGCGGCGACGTGGCTCAATTTCTTCGGGTTCGAGGTCGGAGGAAGAAGAGGATGAGTAGGTGAGAGATGGGGCCTGGGAGACTTGGGAACTGGGCGACTCAAGTTGTGGTTCTTGTGGTATACAATGAGATGTAGTAGCCATTCTCAAGATTTGTGGACGCGACATGTTTCGAAGTAGAATTGATGAATGGCGCTGACGGATCATATAATATGTGTATGATAGTATGAATGCTGAAAATTGACAGGAGAGGAAGGAAAAGACAGTTGTGCTCGAGCTAAACTTGGTGATGTAGTTAGTAGGTATGTCAATCCAAGTTTGGTGTTTATCAATTGATAGATAGATGATGTAAGATATGAAATAAATGGATCATACGTACGGTACTCGAGCAGTCTTTTGAAGGATTGTTATTATTGAACGGAGTATCGGTAGTCTATCCAATTGTTCCTGATTCTTCGACCGTAATTAACCGTAATGAAGCGAAAGATATTAATTGATAAATTGCTGGTGAAATTCTTTTTCTCTTACTCGTAGAAGGACTGTAAAATAAGAAGTTGAAAAGAAAAATATTCAATGGAGAGAGATGAGAGTGGCGGAATTATTTTGATCTTTATTTTGTCTTTCGTTCTTCCATGAAAAGTGTTCTAGGGTTCCTTGATATTAGAGAGCCTAGGCATTAGGTCGAATTGTATTTGAAGCAGAACCTCGGCCGACACCGGGATTAATCAGCTAGAAGTAAAATCGGGATGATCAATTTAATAGGTAATAACCTTTGATTATACAAGTTTAGAAGATATATTACAAATTATAACAAATCTTGTATATAAAAATAAAAAACAACAAAACATCATCAAGGCTTTAGAGAGCATAAATGCATTCCTTTTTTTGTTTCTGATATAGATTATCGTTTCTTCTACTGAAAGAAGTGTGCATGCAAGCAAAAACCTAGAATATCCAAACATCCATCATCTCTTGGGTCGTCTCTTTGCTTGCATTTATCAAAGATTGGGTCGTCTTCCAAGTTATTAACATCTGCACCTTCCACACTGCTGTGTGTGTTCCATCTTGTATATCTTCCGCATATGATCGATTTAGTCTACTCTTCATATTCAATACTTGCATTATTAGCTATGATTTCCCTTTGCAATAACATTCACCCTGTTTGGTATCACTATCATATCACTTAGCGAAAATATCATTAAGTCTTAAATCTCTTCTTTTACTAAAAGTCTTCCGATCCAAGAACTTTACAGATCAAGACCAACTGAGACGATCCTAATCTTTCCGGACGTAATGAGAGTGATGTTCAAGCCTTCAAGGCCAACACAATCTCCACCATGGAAAAGTTCCTACTACTTATCTGATCCGAAAGGTGGGCTCATAAATGCAATCGGTGGCTTGATCTGACATGATGAATGATATGACGGTGAGGTGACGGTGAGGTGACGGCAAAAAAAGGAGGTGAAAAAGAGTAGCCGGCAAGCCTTACTCCCTACATCAAAAGTCAACGTTACTCATTTGTACCAGGGTATCAATAAGCAACAGGGAAAAGATCAGATTAGATGGATCAGATTAGATCTTGTGATCTTTTGACCTTATCCCACTGTTGGGGAGTCTCTTTATCAGATTGGCTTGATTACGCTGCAGCCTGCAGGATCTGATAACTATAAATTTTCTTCCCTGCGTTCCACATTAACCACTGCACGAAGTAATCTTACTTCTCCGCTCAAAGAGACGTAGCATTCATTCTACACGTAAGAGATACACCAAGTTGATGATTTCTTGCATTAGCTTTCTTTTCTATACTGTACCATTGTTTCTCATGCAAGTTTGAAGATAGGATGGAGAAGAACCAAGGAAAGACGACACGAGATATTCTTTTCCGTGTCCACTTTCCACCGATACATACTTGAGTATTCAATGTTCATTATTCACAACTAAAATAGTCTCGCCATCGCCAACACTATACCCTGACTTCAAATACATAATCGCGTCAGGCGGGTATCAATGTAATCTTACAATCGGATGCGAGTATTAATTTAATCGCGAGTTTTGATTGACAAATGATGAATTAATGTATGCATCCGTACGGATCTAACAGTGGACCGTACAGTAGAAGAATGGATGAATGGGTGGATTGGTATGCTTATCAGATGTGTAAAAAAGAGAAAGGGGGCTCCGAGAACGGAGTTTTTGATTGTTCGAGATGATCAGATAATCTGATTAGATAAAGAAGAGAAACGAGGTGACATAAAGGTGTTTCTTTTCAAATATGAAGAGGGGGGGGGGGGGGGGTGGAAGGTGAGGCTTTGTGTGTCTCTCTCTCTCTCTAGCTTGGACAATGGAAAAATGAAAGAGGCACGTGATTGATGAGAAGGGTGTTTCTTTTCTTTCTTTTCACCATAAATGCTCATCATGATAAACCAAAGTGCTCATATCATTCTCGAAATTCCTCTTACTCTGCCCCTCTGCCCCTCTGCCCCTCTGCCCCTCTAGCCACCCTTCAACCTCACATAATTGTCACAGATACTTGTAGCTCATGACAGCACTTGCAGTTTTTCTCAATCAACAAAAACGCTTAGTTGAATAAATTCGCGGTGATTGAACATTCAATATCATACTTTGCGTTTGCGATATACATACTAGCTACTATTTACTGGTTATCACACTATCACGTCATGATGAAGGGGTGTCGATATGTCTTTTGAAATCATGGTAATACTTTGATGTGGATAGGTAGATATCCAGTTTTCAACTTTCCTGCTGTTTCTTCAAGGGGCTGGTCTGCATTCCAGTTATAATCATGTCACCCTTCTATAAATTGATATTACTAGTCATCGTACTCACCATTCATAAGTTTCTCAGTTGGCTTTGTTTATTTCATTCTTGTTTGCTTTTATAGTCTTCCTTTTGGGGTCGTCAAATGATTTAAGAACTTCATATGGTATGTCTTATCCTCTCTTCGTCGTCAATTTTTGTTGGTTTCAATAAACTCTTCCAGAATGCGAAGAGCTATCCTCGAAGGGTTGATCAGTATTTATCTTCTGGCAAGGCTCTTGATAGTTGATTTCATTTTTTCGACGGATGGAAAGAGGAGGGCGGAATATCTGGTTCATTGAACAGCAGCATATTTGACTGATTAGTTTACCAACTTTCGTTTCTACCTACTTTAATTGTAGTGGTTTTTTGAGTCCTGATTTTTTGTTGGTAGGAAAGGTTATATTTCTTTTCCTTTTATAGGTGCTCTGATCTTGACACGAGAGCGAGAGCACTGCCAAAACTTTTCGTCGTCTCGTGGCTAAAGAAATCCCGCCGTACAACAGTGGAACTAGTGGTCTAATTTTAGCTCTCATTCGAATGCTTGACCCAATTCCAGGGCGATATTTGTGTACCCCTTCGTAAGATCCTATTTCATCAGCAGGAGTTGGATAAGTTTAAACCGAATTTGAAACTCCAGCCGGTTTATAGTTTCTCGGTGGCCGGGGCCCGGGCACAATTGAGGGCTCCGGTGCATTATACAGAGAGACGCACTATGAGTTGTTATTCTATCGTCGGAACCGATTTGCCTCAACTCTATTCAAGGTTTTCCCTAGTGTAGTTTCATGCTCTGGACAAGATTTTTGAAGAACTATATAGGAGAGTGCTATTTCCCGTCCTTACCGAAAACCCCCCTATGATATGGGCCTTTACACGAATTATGTATTCACCAACTAGACCAGCATTCAATTATAGGTACCAATACTTCAAAATCATTAACTTCTTATTCCTTATATTCTGATCCAAGATCTCAAACATTTCTATCGCCTTAAGCAGGCAAAAATTACATATGCTAGGTATTTAGGCTTGGTCATCTTATTTGATACATTCTTTCCATTTCTTCCTCTCTATTCCCCCATTGTCCACCAACCAACATGAATCAGTAGCTATCAACCGATTGAAAGCGGAGAAACGGAGCTGGATAAATTCTGTCTCATTACCCCGCGCAGATTGCGGGCCTTCCGCATGGCGGATAAATTGTATAACCTTGCTGGAAAGAGCACAACGACTGAGTGACGGGAAATTTTCCCGATGATCTTTAAAGTCAGATGAAATGCCGAGTAACTGATCCACTGCGATTAAATGCATTTCAGTCGGTGTACCTGGCTAAATGCTAATAAAGTCAGATAAATATCAACAGACAGACGGGGTTTGTGAGGAGGCAAATTCAAAATATATAAGAATGCGATGCAACCCTGTGAACTGAGTTAGTTAGCCCTATAACAATGTTTCGCCTGTCCAGTCTACACTTTCTTCCTCTTTTCGCCTCGCTTGTAGTTCCGGTCATATCAGCTCTCTCAAATACTGATACATCATTGACACTTTTGTATCAGAATAACCTTAATGCTTCTGATGATATAAACCACGTGGGATTCATTCTTCTCGACCCTCACTCTTCGAAAGATGCACTCGCAGCATGTGAGGCTTTGAATGAAAAGCTGCTCAGCAGTAGCACAATAAAACGCCAAACGTCTGATTTTCTACTTCCCCTATCATACCAAGCATACCGTGGTCGCGCCTCATCATCACAACTATATATCATTGACGGTGGAATTGTTTCCTATGACTCAATTCATGGATTGAGCTTTCCGAAGTCTGCTTATAACGATGTGAAACTGCCGGTTCTTTGTACTCAGTCTAGTGATGAAAGTCAACCTGGAACGGCCGTCGCTAGCAGTAGCAACAAGGTTTCTGTTGGTGCAGGAGGGAATACATACGTCGGATTCCGCAACCAAAAATCATTCCGTTTTCTCGGTATACCATATGCAAATCCACCAGAAAGATTCGTCTATTCTACGCCATACTCACCCACGGGTCAGACAATTCAAGCAACCGCATATGGATCACAATGCGCTCAGGTTTCCGGCGGAAGCGAGGATTGTTTGTTTCTCAACATCCAGACTCCATATATTCCTAAAGCAAATTCTACCAAGGGTTTAAGACCGGTCATGTTTTGGATCCATGGTGGTGGATACGTTACTGGAAGTGGTGCTGATCAACTGAGTGATGGAGGTGATTTGGCTAGCAGAGAGGATATTGTTGTGGTGAATATTAATTACCGGCTTTCAACCTTGGGGTTTCTGGCCATTCCTGGAACGAATATTACGGGAAACTTTGGTATTGCTGACCAAATTAACGCTCTAGAGGTAATACATTCTGTTAGTTTTCTGCGATGGTCATCGAGGTTAATATGTTTTAGTGGACGGTGAAAAATATCGCTTCTTTTGGAGGAGATCCGAACCGAATTACAATCATCGGTGAATCAGCTGGAGCAGGATCAGTCCGAGTACTTCTAGGCTCACCACCAGCAATAGGAAAGTTTCAAGCTGCAGTGGCCATGTCCAACCTCGGTGGTGGTGTAGATCTTGGACTCTCAGGTGACTATGCAACCACTTACTCCACATATCTCACTATACCAGAATCATATGCCAGAGTTGGCCAGAATATATTTCAGGAGTCAGGATGCAATCAAGCATCTTTACCCGATCAAATTGCCTGCCTCAAAAATGTTCCCGCCTTACCTTTGGTTCAACTCAACTACGCCGCGCAATACGTTGTTCAGGATGGCCACTATGTTAACACAGCGGAACTCGACCTTGTCAATCATAATGGCAGCACAGCCTACGTGGATGTGATATTTGGTGTCACCGCCAATGATGGCGCATCAATCGGTTCCGTCTACCCTTCGAAGCCTGTCACTTCCGAAGTAGCTGGCATCGCTGCTTCTTTAAGTATATCTCAGTCCTATGCTCAATCTATAATTGATAGTGAGCTGTTCCCTTACTACGACACTGGAAACATCACGCTTGACTCATTTAGTATGTAAACGAGTTCCAAATTTCCTTGTTCTTCACACCCAATTCTGTTCTTCAATCTGCAACCTGTTTTAACTCTTTCTCAAAAACATCATCTCTTTTATCTGATAACACTTTGTCTCTCATTTTCTTCTAAATTTTGTCCTTCATGGATAACACTGACTCACCAATTCGCAACAGACGTGTCACAGCGGGTGGCGACGGATAAAGATTTCAGATGTGTAGATCAGGCAACGATGTTCGCGGGCTCCAAAAATAGCATTTTCAAGTCGAGCTATTTCTATGAGATGGATAGGACCATTGCCGGCTATGACCCTAATGGGCTTGGTGGACCTCAAACCTCGCCTGGCTACCCTAATGGAAACCCAAATTTGCCATATTTCAGATTCCATGGAGCTGATATGCCATGGGTATTTGGAGCTTTCAATACCGGATTGCAGTTCCGAGATGCTGAGGACTTGTGGAGCTTGGAGTTAAGTGTCAGTTACTTTGGAGCATTTGTCAGGACGGGAAATCCGAATCCAGATGATGGATTTTTGAAAAGTAGGGGATACGAAACCGCGCAGAAGGGCATTCAACTGGCTGGAAAATGGGAGGAGGTAGGTGCTGGAGGGGAAAAGGGCAGTATGATGTTGATTGATTGGCCAGGGAAAGCCCAAAGCTTCGTCGACTTAGAACAGTGCAAGTGGCTGGGATATCCAGTTGATTATTACGTTCATGGCGGTAGTTAGGAGAATTTGATTAGTCTGGCCCCTTTTCGCATTTGACTGAAATGGAAAGATGTCTCTCTTTATACTCCTCGTCTCTTTGCATACTTATCAGTTCTGGAAAATCTTGTAGTCCCATGTCATGGGCTATTGCATATTTTGTAGCCCCCTTGCAATCAATAGGTCCCTCAAAACGAGGCTGCACAAGCCGCCTCTGTATATTTCCCTGATCTCCTCACTTCTATGATTTTCGTTTCTAACTTCACAATCCCCTAACTTCCAAAAAAAAAACACTCTCAATTGAATGGACCTTCTTAAATGCAACACTTGAGGTGCTAGTAAGTCTTACTCCTTCAGTGGATGCCCATCCCGAACTTGCGAGAGATGAGCATTTGACATCCTCATGTTTGCAGAAGCATTTCAACTGGACAAAGCAATAATAGACTTTCAGCAAAGGAGAATAATGGTCGGCAGAATTTTGAACTGTCGCATTATTTACAGAACCAAGTTATCCGCGCAGAGAACGGGATGTTACACCAAAGGGGAACTTAGCTCAACCAGGTTTTTATGCCATTAAAGCTTAAATAGTTGAGAAGGGAAGTAGATTAGGACGGGAACATAGATAGGACAGCCTTAAATTCTTGCATTTCGGGGTATTATGACAAGATGAGTAAGTTTTGAATTTCGAATGAGAGCCGATAGAAAGCTGGTTGATTGATATACGATCATTGAGGTGAAGCTCTTGTTTTCCAGGACAAAGGGATTCATCAATAAAGAGTACCAACCAAGTTTCAATTATTGTAATTCATTATTTCCCACTAAAGTACATCCCTACTCATTAAGGTATGCGAAAGGCGCGTCGTAGTTTCAACTGCATATTGGAGCAGTAGAAGTAAATGCCCTTATATCGATCCCTGGCCAAATCCATACTTCCCTAGATACACCCTCAAACGCCCATAATGTCTCGACATGCAGCTCCGTAGACTAAATGTCTCTAGTTCTTCTCTCTCGTTTCTAAAATTGCCTTGTTCAACTTATGATCTCTCACGTTCCGTACCCTTTTTCCGATAGTGGTTCCCAGATACTCTTCCAGTTGTTTTCCCTCATGGTCATCTACATCCATCATGCCATTCATTCCATTACCATTGGCACCATTTGTACCATTCACATGAATTTCAGCCTCTTGAGAAAGACTCATCACAGCTTTCATAAGTACCGCAATCAACATCTGTATTTCCTTATCGTCCCCGGTCCTGTCACTCCTTAACTTGTTTAACACATAATCGAAAGCGTTCAAGTTTGGAAGAATGAGAGCTTTAACACCATCGGGACCGCCGATTGCTAGAAGTCCACTGATAGCCCCATAATATTCTCCCGGAGAGCGTGTTGGATCTAAGAAGAATTTTAGGCATGACCTTGCTAGCCTTGCCCTGAGCTGTGCGTTTGATTCCGTGTATTTCTTTGAGATAACGCCGATGAGAGATGCTGCTGTATCCCGCAGTTGATATTTTTCTTTCAATTCATCTGAGGCTCCTGTGCCAAGTGTGCGACCGACTAGACATGTAAGAATAGGTGGGCAAAGACTGGATATGTAAGGATTGACAAAGAGGGTTTTATTTGAAATGAGGGCATCTGATAATTTCAACATTTGTTGTAATACGAAGAGATTGCCCAAGGAATGAGTAACTTTCTCTGCAATGAAGTGAACAAAATACGGCACCAATTGATGAAGACCCGGGTCCGATCTTACACTTTCCAGGGCGGATTCCCTCAATGTAACAACTTCCGGATCATTGTCATCATCTAGAATAGCTGCGCGGATTTTATCGAAGAATAGTATTAACTCTTTGGACACAATGTGTTTGACTAAAGGCTTGACCGAAACATTATCATTGCCAGCCAAAGCTCCAAGAGCTGGATTTGCACCTGGACCTTTAGGTACCAGGTCGTTTGCACGAGCTTCTGCTGTCGTGGGATTTTGCGGAATTGATGGCTGGACACCTTCGACCGCGAGCCAATGTGCTGTTGGATGGTATTAGCACCATATTCACGCTCTTAATTTTGATAATATCTTTCTTACCAGTAAATGACATATCCCTCGGAACCTTTGGTAAAGGCGCATTGATCAGTTTCTCAAAATCTACTTCTTCATCCTCAATGTAAAAGAGTGGTTGGCCAGGACCTAAGCTTGCCTCCCCGAATCTTAGTGGTCTCGTCGATTCGTAACCATAGAGTGGTTCGACATCCAGGACTTTAAGCGCCTGCGAAATGTCTTGTGTTCCTAATACTGTTCTTTTCCCTTGATGCATAAATCGCATTGCTTCGACAATGACCTGTCCGACTCGGTATTCGACCTCTTGTGATAATGCCCTCACTGCTTCTTCCCCAAGCTGTGAAATACCGACAGATTCTGCGACGTCACGAACATTATCTGGGTTCCATACTAACTTAGGATCCGACATATTGATCAATTGAGCTTTGGGTTTCTAAAGACGAGGGGATCGGTCGCAGATTGGTATTGAAGTTTGATGGACTTGATGCGATGGCGAATAAAGTCACAAATATATTTAGCCGGAGGATTCGCCTGTGGAGAAGATGGAGGAAGGTCCAAAAGGCTTTTGAATTGCTGACATCGGGATGATTAAATATTGTTGTCGGCGCATTTATTAATATATGTCGCGAGATATTCTTTGAACGGTACCTCACTGATTGTTGGAGCTAAAGGACCACAAGGCTGAACTCTTGCACGAGGCTACCTACGGAGTTCTGGGCAGAACTGCTTTAGATACTTTTCGCTTCATTTTACTTCATGGTACTACAATTCCTACCACTGCCATACCTAGATTGGACATTGGAATTTTCATACGCTCTTTTTCCTTTGATTTGATCAGAACGCATTGTCGTAGCTTTGCTGAAAAAGGCAGCTCCCCTCCCCGCCACATTCTGCCATTCTGCAACACATACCCCGCTATCTTCTGTCACTCATTCATTCAATTTTCAATCATTCTTCCAAAGATACATTTCTGTATACGTTACAAGATGACCACTACCACTATAGATCCCTATCCTTACGGCGAGCCCTCACGACCTCTCTCTCGCGGCTCATTCATCTTGATCGAAGGGCTAGACCGGGCTGGAAAAACGACACAAGTGAGGAAGTTATGCGATAGACTATATGCTTCTGGACGAAATGTGAAGCTGATGCGATTTCCCGGTATTTACTTTCTCATTACTGCACATTTTGTATTCAATTACTAGATACACCCTTCCTGATCAAAGCCAAAGGCTTCAAGCTCACAGATCAAGACAGAACAACCTCGATCGGTCAACAGATAAATTCCTATCTACAATCTTCTACTATTCTGCCAGATCAGGCAATACACCTTCTCTTCTCGGCGAATCGATGGGAGAAAGCTCAGGAAATCCATCAGTTTATTGCACAAGGGTACACAATTGTATGCGATCGTTATTACTACTCTGGAATGATTTATACTTCTTCGAAGTATCCGACGGATTCTCCAAACCACCTTTCCCTCGAATGGTGCAAGAACCCTGAAATAGGATTACCAATGCCTGATAAAGTGATATTCTTGGATTTAGAACCTGAGGAAGCGGAAAAACGAGGAGGATATGGGGATGAGAAGTACGAAACGAGAGAGATGCAGAGGAGAGTTAGGGATGGATTTTTGAGGTTACAGAACACGGCTATCAAAGGCTTTGAGCATGAGCGAAGTATAATGAAGGCCATCAATGCGGGAAGTGGTGTGGACGAAGTCGCGGAGAAGATATGGGATACTGTTGTGACTCTGGTAGAGCAAATAGAAAAAGGGGAGCTTGGAGGTTTAGCTGTAGTGCGATGATGATAAACAAAAGCAGAGGAACAAAATAGGAACGGATCAGCGCATTTACATTTGAGAACAATAGCTATATGTGGTAAGAACCGTATAGTGAAAACATGCCAACGAAGTTGATCGTCCTTCCAGTTCGTATTTATTGAGTTCCAGGGCAAAGGCCTAGCATAGAAAAATTATCCAATACAGACATAAATGGCGTTAAGACCAAACAATGAACGCCTTCCCATGGTAGTGTTGAAGACCATCGTACCTTAACCCAAAACGCCGCAAAATGCAAATGCAATGTACCACCCCTTTTACCAATCATCTATCTTCTATTCAAGCCCACCAAGCTGAAAAACTCATTTCTAGTCTTCTCTCTTTTTTCTATGCAACCAAGAACACAGCTCGTAATCGTCGTAGCACTTGTTTTCTCAACCCCACGCATGACCATGCATAAATGGCTCGATTCCATGACAACTGCCACGCCCTGTGGTTTGAGAATTTCCATAACGGCATGTGCGACATCTTTGGTGAGCCTCTCTTGAATTTGTAGCCTTCGTGAAAACATGTCTGCAATTCGTGGTAACTTTGAAATACCGATGACATTTCGATCTGGAATATAGCCAATGTGCATCTGTGATTCATGGATATAAGCTTCCATGGCTTCCAAAGACATCAAAGAGACAAACTTACCTTTCCAGTGAATGGAACCATATGATGCTCGCACATACTGAAGACCTCGATATCTTTGACAATTACTAATTCATTGTGGTCCTCATGGAAAATTGCATCATTGACAATGTCCCTGACATTTTCCTGATATCCCTTCGTGAGGTATAGCATTGCTTTTGCGTATCGCTCGGGGGTGGCTAAGAGACCTTCTCGATCCGGATCTTCACCTATGCATTCGAGGATTGTGCGAACTGCGCCTGTCAATTTTGACATGCGGACAGCTGCTTGTTCTGGAGATTCGTCAAGACGTTCTCGCGCGCCTTTGCCTGAAATGTATATTAGCTACAGGAGCGAAAGAATAACATTTGGTCAAGTGCGGCAGTGACGGAAGAGGATGACGACATACTAGGCCGACTCAAACCATCAAAATCAATGACTGGACTGGGACTTCTCGAAACCTCAACAGGAGTCTCTTCCGGAGTGTCTGCCGCCTCATCTCTTGGATCTCTGGCTGGTTTGGTGCTGACACTATGTCTTCGATGTCCATGATGACCATTCGCCTTTGACTTCCTCTTCTTCTTCTTAGTCATTTCTCCGCCTTCCCAATTACTTTCAGATTTGCGCTTGGAATTTCCTCCATTGAATTCCCTGGTTTCCTTCTCCGCTTCCTCCTTGTTTCCATCTTGGTTGGAGAATTGTACCATAATGGAAGAAATGGAATTGAGTTGAATGAAAATTTGTATTTTATAAAGTGTTTGTTTGAAGTGGGAAAAATTAAATGATGTATAAATGGGGTGATGGTAATCAAAGAAATTTTATCAGTGCAGTGAGCGATTACTGTACGTAGGTATTGTCTCTCCGAGATAAGGGTTGAAGTGCCGCTAACAATTATTCAGGTAGCATTTGCACAGGTACGGCAGGCACGGAGTCCGGGGATATGACCGGGGTCAGCGTCAGCCCCATCCTCAGCCTCATCCTCAGCTTCAGCCTTGTCTGCATGAATCACCAACGAATTACCAACCAACCACCTTACACCAATGAATCTCAAAGAAAGTACATACCGGTGTAGGTCTCACCTCCCGATACATTACCACCAGATCCATCCATCCTTTAAGAAAAACAATACATTTTCAACAATATCTCCCTACGTTCTTCTTGTGTTCTACAACTAGGACTTGTTGGACTTATCATCATCGATAAGAGCTTCGGGCTATTTTCATTACTTATCAATTTAGCACCGGCTACTAGCCCAAGAGTCACTGCATGATACCTACCGA